GCCTCGGTGTTCGAGGAGGTTGTATCTGTTGGTAATTACATAAAATCCCGCCCCTTGTGCACACGTTTATTTCGCGTGTTTTGTGACGAAATTGGAGCTGGACACTGTGGACTTCTGTATCATTCGAACGTCCGCTGGCTATCGCGAGAAAGAGTGCTGGAAAGAGTAGCTAACTTACGCAGTGAAGTCGGTGCTTTTTTATAAGAACAGAAGCATGAACTTTTAAAGCGATTCAGCGATAACGAGTGGATTGCAAAGCTGTTATTCTTAGCAGATTTCTTCAACCATTTAAATCAACTAAACACCTCTATGCAAGGATCCAACAAAATATTTTTGGATGTGTCAGAGGACATTGTCGCATTTAAAGCTAAAATGGAGTTGTGGGTGCATCGAATGGAACATGGTAAGATAGCCGCGTTTCCGACTTTAAACACATTTGCAGAAGATGAAGAATTTAATTTCCACAACATCCGTCCAATATTTCTCGAGCATCTTTCTTCATTTCTTTCCGAGTTAGATAGATATATCCCTTCGCACGATTATAGCAGATTACAGAACGTTTAACTTGGTTCGATGTCCTTTCGAGGTGTCAGCCCTACAGGTTCACCCAGAAACGGACTGCATTGCTGAACAACTGGTTGAGCTGCAAAGTCGACAGCTATGGAGAAACAAAATATAAAAATGTTTCTCTCACACAATTTTGGGCGGAAGTACAAACAAGAGAACCAAATCTCTCTGATCTCTGTTGGCAGGCAACGAAAGCTCTTTTACCCTTTCCAACAACTTATCTTTGCGACGCTTGGTTTTCAGCCCTTACTATGATAAAAACCAAGTATCGTAATCAACTGCAACCAGAAGATGACATTAGAGGTGCGTTGACAAATATAGGCCCTGATTTCGACAAACTAGTAGTGCAAGTTCAGGGACAAGGTTCCCATTGAAATTTGTAACTGTGGTTAATAAACTGATTTCGTTAAAAATCTGTTGTTTTTGGTTTTATTGCTTCCTCACACAGAGTTCGGTTACACAATTACCGCGCCTCAAGTCCGCGAAGACTTCCGCTGGTGTGAAAATAGTCTGCGACCAAAAAAGGTTGGGAAACGCTGGTCTAATCAAACAGCCAACACGAAATGACTGAATGAATGCTTAGGATCAGCGTGTGGTATTAAATATGACAGTTAAGCTGAATGACCAGATCATCCCACGTCATCACCACGCTGAAATGGGTGGAAACATGTTTATACTTGATTATATTATATAGTCAGCGGCATGAAAAATGAGCATAATATTCCACTTATTGAAATACGAAATGTAATGATATTGGATGACATCATGCTTTACGGCAGGCCTGCCCAACCTTTTTAGTTTCGCGGGCAACTTTCACATGACAAAATTCATTGCGGGCAGCAAACATTGATACGAAACTTAAATACACTACCAGCCAAGTCCTGATTTCGTTAGAATGTACATAATACCCAAAATGCAAGTTTGTTAACATGAGGTCAATCAAGTTAACTATAGTTATAACTATTTACTGGTTTCCGAGTAGGGCTAGCAAAATATTTGAATATCAACTCGAATATAAAATAACAGTTCACTATGGGAATATCTGGTAACATGGGGCGTGAATATGGCACTCGCGCGCCGCTGGATCAAAGAATCGATCATTACACAAAGTACTTTTCATTGCACAAGGCACAATTTCTGACGACCACACGAGAATCTGCACACAGTTTTCACTAAGAAACGAAGACATCAAAATTGAGTGTTATATTTGCGGTAAAAATGTTTTTTTATTTATTCATTTTCAGTGGCTATGATATTGTCTCAATGTTTAAATAAGTGTAATTAGCGCAAATGTCGCGGGAATATCAAGTTTTAGTGAGCCGTTTCGTAAAATTTGAAACATCAATACAATTATTTAATGAAGTAGCATTGCAAAGATTTCTGGACAAATATATATACTAATTTGGATATGTAAAAAATGCCATTAAATCAATTTTATTAGAATTTTTGACGGATACGCAGTGACGACATTTTAAAAAATTTCATTTAACGCAAACATAACATAGACAACAAGAGAGCTACGCACAAATATATGGACACGTCAGACCAGAGCGAATCAGTCCTTACCGGTACCTTTGACGCTACCGGTACCCTCAAAAAAGTTCTGAATTTCCAGTAGCAAGAATTTTGCAGAATCAAAACGTACAGCCAGTCATGACACTGACTAAAATCCGTGTTCCCATGGATAAAAAATAATACAGCAAAATTTTAGACGAAATATCAAATTTCATAGAATTCACGCAAAATTTTGAAATAAATAAAAGTAATAACCTTCTAGCGAAAAAATTAATCTTTAACCACTGAAAATTTCAACAAGAACAAGAACAACAACATAATATTGAAACGATCGTTATGGCCACTAAACGTGTCCAAAAATAAGAACATAAATGGGCAACGGAGTCCCGGAGCCAGTGGGAAAAATATTGTTGAATTTTTATTTTGAGTTGGCGATAAAGACGATCAAAGATGACACGTAAGATAGCAACCAGAATGGAAATAATTTGCAAATTTAGGTTCCAAATTCATTCCTGTAATTGCGCTCAGCGTTTGTGGTCAATGATCGCACAGCGTCTTTTGAGTTCATGGAACAGAACGCACAGTTCTGCGAAAATGTCCACCAAGGCGTAAGACTTGATACATGTATGTATAATAATAGGAACAGGCATTTGGATGTAGATATATGGCGGGAATAATCACACCAAAATCACGAAACATACTAAAAGTCTATCTTAAAATACCACTATATGTCCATGAAGATTATGAAAGTCATAACAGTCAACAGTTCAAATTAACTTGAGTAATTACGAAATTCATTTTATATGTTTCTACGGTTGTAACATGAGTAACTGACTGAATGTGATTCGGATATTTGGTGTGAATATTGAAGTGAATGAGCAGGTCTTCGAGGAAGGATAGTACCAATAACATATATATCTTCGATTTGATAAAGCGTGTTTGGAAGTAGACAATAGACAATAATCTATAAAGTCTGACTATGTCTGTATTCGAATATTTGATCTAGAATTTTTATATTTTTAGTTTATTGAAAACAAAACATACAAATGAAAATGAAGAAATTCAACAACAATTGACAATACTCGAATTTGTTATTTTGTCTTCTAAAGATTGTGAACAACGCCATTTCTGTTGTGTCTGTGAAATCTTATAATGGCTCCTTAGACTGTCAGGCCTTATAAATATTTTCTCACATTTATGACATTTGTGTTTTCGTTTGATGTGTGCTGAACTCTGATGCCTTGTCAATATACATTTTAAAGAGAACTGCTTTAAGCATATTTCACAAATGTGTTTATTCATAATTGTAGTATGATTTAATTAAGTATTACCTTAAACCCAAAAATGCGCAGATTTTGAATACAAAACAGAAGAAAAACTTCTAACAGCGTGCCGTACTAAACTTTATCGTTAAGTCTGATTTATTACTACGGAACCCAGACTACCTCGATATTACATCTTTTATAGTTTATACTTTCTAATTCAGACTCAGACTCTCGATAAAGCACAGAACGAAGCGTTAGGAATGATGAAAACAACATTGGAACTATTTTCTCCAAATAATCCTATTTGTTCTTTATAATATGCATTAGAAAGTGTTCGATGTTACATATCAATGTCCGTTTGGTGAGGTCATCTTCTTTTTTGATGTCGCAGAAATCAATGGACGTGCGGTATGGTGCTTTTGAATTCATCAATCTCTCCGTAAATTTCCAAAACCTGACAAGAGGTAAAGCATTAGTTATATTTAATGGTTAATAACGTTTTAACGCTTCGGAGAATTAATACTTACTTTGGGATTGCTAGAGTGTATGGAGGAACACGGTAGATTAGTTGTTGAGTTATTTTTGGTGAGCCTGATTCAAGGGGTTCGGTCACTGATTCCGGATAAAAGTGTTTTTCGGGAATTTGACTTTCTGAGTGTTTCTTCTTGTGAGATTCCGGGCTTATATCATGAAATTTCGAAGCCAACATGGCTGTAATTGTTTGCTCAGGAGGTTGATTCAATGTTTTTTGTTTTACTCTTCCCGGAAAATTATTCATTTGCGGGTCAATTGTCATCAATGCTGGCGGAAAGATTTTTTCGTCAACTTTATTCTCTATCGCTATCGGAGTGTTTCACAGGACATAAAAAAGCTATGACAGTTCCTGTACCGTCACGGTGCCCCGATACAGGTACTGGTAAGTCATCGCATATGATTTGACAGAATTGGTGAATTTTTTAAAGCGGAATGTCATAAAAACAGGGAATAATAGTTCTTAAATATTGTACTATTCACTCTGTTTCGTGCCGCAAATAGGAATACGAGTATCCTCAAATCACTGTACGATTTTTCAAAAGTAGGGGCGTGACAAAAATATTGTTTCGCAAGTAAGTTCACTTCATCGTTTGCAATTCACGATTGTGGCTCTGTGAATAACTCACTTCAACAGGACTAAACGTTGATTTAGTGAAGCAAACGATCCCAAGAAAATTACATTGGTTCAAATCGTGTATTTCTCATACACAGTAGAAGTTAGAAAGGTTTTTACGTCCTGCTTATCAAGGTTACTTCAGTGCGCGGCTGATTCTGAAGTTCTTTCAATAGAATGCCATAAAGCCCTGCAAGTTGAATATGGACAGCACAGCACCCTTTTAAAATTGATTTTTTGCTTCTGTAAAAAAATAGCCGTTGGTTGCCTACTTTATATCAGCAAATTCGCTCGTCAGATGTATCATTTAACATTAGTTTTTGGGATCGTTTCCATACTTAATCATTTATCGAACACAATATAACAAAATGAGGAACTCGCGACTGACATATATATCTTCATATTTTGTCAATTATATTTTTAAGCATAATCCAAGACCAAATGCTGATGTTTTTAAAAAAAAATGACATGTGGCTTCATAAATTTGAAATTCTCTAGATTGACGATAATTTTCAATACTTGCTCCCTATTTGTTGTCGTGATATTTCCTCCTGAATATCTGTGAATACTCATTCACAAATACCAAAAACACAATTATCAACCGCAACTTTATTTTTATTATTTTTAGCAATATTTTCAATACATAGAATTATAGTTCAGTTCAATTGTGTCAGACAGTCAAATTAATCATGAAGTAAGTGATCGGATTTTAAATGTTCAATTTAATAATTTATTATCATCCAACATTAATTTAAATTTGCGTTGCGGTTAAAATAATTTTACTTAAAAATGATAATATAAATATCACCTCGCCCCTATTTTATGTTATGCCAAATATACACTTTTGACAAATTGGCAATTAGATGTTATATTAGAAATGTTATATTATCATTTTTAGATTTTTTGTATAGAATGCTAATCGTACAATTTTATATCACTATATATATATGTAGTATTATCTTCATCAAAGAAAAAGCATGCAGAATTTGTCGATATATATATATATATATGTAAAGATTATATACTAAGCAATGCCGGAAAATTTGAATTTTATGCTTTTTCGATTTATCTTGTGAGTTATGTACATTACAGGACATTCATTAACAAACCGTTTGTAATACATATTTTTTAAGAGTATATATATATATATATATTTTACTCATCACGTGGCGAAGACATTAGAAACAATGGTCTACATTCAAATTTGAATAAGATTGTATCGCCTTGTGGCCTAAGCGTCAACTTTTTAAAACAGTAAATAGTTGTTTGAAAGAAAAATATATGCAAAGCAATTTGATATATACAAAGTAATTTGGGCACAAGCAATGTGCAGATTCTTCGCACAACATCTCTCAATCGTCATTGAAGAGTGCCTCTGGAACGAAAGTTGACAGAAAGTTTGAACAGATGGGAAACGTTGCTGTAGAGTATTTCTGATGGTAATTTATTATACCAGCTGTCTGTACTCTCCTCTTCGATAAATTCAAAATCAGGAAAAACGTCTTCTCGTAAACTGAAAATTGAATAAATTTCAGATAAATAAAGTAATAAACTATTGGGTTAATGGAAAAATGTTCAGTATTATAATATTATAGAGTGAAATTGAAAATGAATATTGATTGGCATAAATGATTAATAATTAACAATATTTTGCATGCATTCTAGTAGTGATTCGCCAATCAGTCATTAGACAGGAAGCCAATTAGACAGCTTACTGCATATTTAGACAGGACGAAAACCGCTTTATATTAATCTAGAAGGCAATATATTTCAATTCTCTCTCGTTAAAAACGTGTTGAAATTTGCTTTTCCGCACGGTTTCGCGAAAATAATGTTTTATTCCACATATCTAGTATACTATATTTTGTAAAAACACTTACTTTATATTAAGGATAAAAAGAACCGTGGTACCCTGAATATGTACCCCCTAAAGGTCAAGACACAAATTGCGACGGAGATTAATGAAAATGTGTAATGGTTGTATTTTTGGTATTTTTTCTGAAGCGGGATAAAAACATCCGAACATGAAAAAAATATTTGGAAAACAGTAATTCTTAGCCAATACTGCAACATGACAAATATTTTTGTTTGATATGTTCATTTGTCAAAGAAGAAATTTGATTTGTTAAATTAATATATAGTCAGGCGCAGAAAGATGCTTAAGCGCCACGTGTAAACGGTCAGTACTTGATTTGCGATACAATTTATTGAAGACTGTTCTAACACATCAAATACCATTTCTAATTACTAGAGAGAAGGTAAGTAAGTAGGCTAGGCTAGAAAGTAAGTAGTGAACAAGGTATTAATGAACAAAGAATGTTCAACGTATCGTACAAACCTCCAAAATGGTTTTATATCAGGAACTTGAATAAGAATTTCATTCAAATTTTGCTGAAATTTTCCAATATCCATGTGATCAAAGGCATCCTTGATCATTGCTAAGGTCTTTTTGTCAGTGATTTCCGTTTGTTCGACTGAAAAGAACACGAAAATATATTGGATTGATTGCACTTTCAAAACTATATATATATACGTTTCTACTTGTTAATATGAGTTGACAATTCAACAGCCGATGGTAATATGAATTTTTTGATTCCGTTGCATCTAATGTTTAACATATTAATGAGATCTTTGTAATGGTATTCATATAAAACTATTGACTCTTATCCATTGAGGTGTAAAATTGTTTGTTTAGCTCACCTCCGTACAATGCTTCTTTGTATGGATCCAAATTTTGTTGTACAAAATTTACGGCTTTATGCCAAGTTAGTCGTTGGTACAAAGCCAAAGTGTGTTTTATAAGAGCCGATTTAGGTATCATGACTAAGTGTTGCTCAGAGAAGCTGAGATGCTTACACAAATACTCTCGAATTTGCTGTTCCGGGTCTGCTTCAACCTTTAAAATGAAGGGTATATGTGAAATAAAGAACATATGTAAACAAAAATTATACCAATGAATTTCTTACATTAGCCAGGAAGCTTATCGCGTTCGTGAGAGTCCTCACGCCTCCATAAAGATCAGCCGGTGTAATCTTATTGCTAGCTACCTTGTCGTCAACTTCTTGAGCGATTTCCAGTGTCAAAGTAACCTTACGTCAACACAAGAAAAATATATGAAACGATTTCAATAATGATTGCTTTGGATTCTAATATTATTACCGTTTACTATCACATACCTGTTTTTGTCGCTTCCCTTGCCTTTCTTTAGTCTTTTTCCAGTCTGACCCTATTCCAACATCTTGTGGATACCTCATACACGGGAGAGTCTAACAAACACACGTACATCAAATACTTGAATTTATTAGATTTTATCTGTGCTGTATAGGTGGAACAATGATTGTTTTGTCTCTAATCATATTATTATTAATGATATTTGTCTAATAAATCACTACATCTAGTATTTTGACATTACACGAGCTAGCAACTTACTTCAATATCTATAATGGGTGGATAAATTGCATAGCTTTCTCTCGCCTGAAAATATAAATATTGTGAAAGTAAACCTACTAAAAAATCTGAAATGAGGACACTTTAATATTTTTTTCAATGAAACGATAGTACATGCAATAAAACACTACAGTGAACCTAAAGCTGTATATGAGAAAGAAATTATTGTATATAGTATTCTGCACTGCGGAACAAAATCAATGGGTAAAACAAAACAACTTTCAACCAAACTTTGTATACCCTATACCTTCTAATGGGAACAATTGAAATTGGAGATTTTTTTATTCTAGTTTCTAATTCTGCCGCAGTTATTTAATATTTTACAGAATTAGTTGAATGCATACAGGCGTCTTTATTATATTTTTGTGCTCAATTAAAACCAACAATAATGTAACTGTTTTGTATCTGAATTGATTTGTTCAATGTCGCCACGACTGCGCCAAAATAAGTGAAAACCTGTTTTTCCAAAGCATCGACATTATATGAAATTATGTGATGGGATCCATGACTATCTCGCTCAATCGTGTAAGATGTGTGAGTATGAATCATCTTCATAAAGTCATTTTGTCCTTCATAAGGAATAAAATTTGAAGGAACCAAATGCGAAACGGGTACTGGAGTCGAGCTGCAGGAAAATATCATTGGTAATAAAACAAAAGCGCACATATTTTCATTCCTTCCTACAAAACATTACTGCTTTAACTTTTCGAAGCTAGAATTACTGTACTGAGATACCCTAATGAACAAATGCTGAAAGCTGAAAAGTTTAAGCCAATATATTTCATTACAAATCAGTCCAACTTTATACTTCTCTATCCAAATCAAATTTTATTAAAATTTCTAAATATATATTGAAGATTCGTATTATGTAAAAATTATCAATCTGCAAAATTTTAAATTAGAATATGGAGAAGTCGATCCATGCTAAGAATATGTCTGAACGTTTTAGTGCTCAATTCACAATAGAAAATTTTACAATAGATTGTGAAGTAGCTTAGGACTTTAACCCAATCAAATGACTCACCTTTCCTGCCTCATAACACTATGGCACTCGCCGAGAAAATCATTGTGGATTTTTATGAGATACACAGCGAGCAATTGTGCACATCTACCATGGCCGCGTGAGCTTGGTATTCCCATTGCAACGGAACTTTGCATATTCATCTCGGACATATAATCTTCCAATTTTTGATTTCTTCCCAAACTTATACTGTTGCGAACCTTTAGAGTATTTGCATTAATATTTTTCGTAAATCAGAAAGTAATATAAAGTATTGCCATTTTATTTTCCTGAAGTAGTAAGTCGCTTAATTAAAACCCACAGATCGAATATTTCTTTTACGCTAACGTAAGGCTCTTGGTTTATCCCACAATGAATAAAACTGTAAAACCGACTACTATTATTAACGCAATGTTTATTATCTATTATGTGTGTATATATCTCTGTTTGAGACTAATTATTATTTTGAAAGTTGGATAAATTCTTTCTTAACTAAAATTCTGAAAAGTGGTTATCGGAATGAACGAGAAGCAAACTTTTCAGATTTTGACTACAAAATTGAGTTTGAGTTTAAATTTGGTGGAAACCTTAGGTCTAATTATCTAATTATTATTTGATAAATTTCAATAGTAAATTACTGTAACTAAAATAACGCAGTATAGTTAAATTATGATTGCTAGTAAATTTTATTCAGCAACTAAAAATACCGTTTAAGTGCTATTTGATGTCATCAAAAATACGTACAGAATTCCATATACGAAAGTATTCTTTAACAAGGTCCTTATGTTTGTAGCCCTGGTCTCCCATGAAAACCTCGAAAGTAGTTTTCTCAACATAATTGAGATCTTTTCCCCAATACCTGCAATAATGTCAATGAAGTATTTCCGCATTTTTCACATTTTGAATCGCTTTTTATCTTATAGCATATAAATAGGCTTATTTATATGGCGAGACCGTAATTTGTCTCAAGCGCTTTGGTATTGATGGAACACGGATTAATAATCTACATGTAAACTCTAATTTAATTGACACAAATTCACAAAATTGGCAATATCGCGAATGCCAAAGCAATGTCCACAAACTTCATTGTTCTTTACGCGACACAGAACATACTGAAGTTGTCTTGTTATTCGCGCAATAATTTCAATTTTTTCCACAAACAAGCAATGAATAATTACTAACTTTTCAATTAAAATTTTTTGGAGATCCAGGACATATTCAAGGTCTTTTGCAAGATGAAGTTTTGGCGTCTGTAGAATCTTCTGAATCACGCCTAGAATATTCAGACAAATTAATAATATGACCTGATAATCTATTGAAGCGGTAACATTTGTCAAATATAATTATACGAAAGCAATTGCTAGGTGACAGATGCTAATATACCTGGCGAGGACGTGTCTCCTATGGTTTGCAACAAGTGAGATGGGTTTGGATGCCTAATTGTACTCCAAAGTATTGGATGAAGACAATTGATCGCTTTATCTTCGTGCATTTCCACATCGTGAGTTATTCTGAAATGTTAAGCATCATTTGAAGTTTGTTAATTAAAATATGTCTTATGTAGCATATTTTAACTTGAATATATTGTTAGATCTCCAGCGCCGTTAGTGTCTATTTCTTCGTAGCTAAAACGTATTGTAACATTTCGTGATTGTTGACGTCTTATTGCTCGCATTTTATATGTTTCTTCATTATCTGTTAACCGAGCTTAAGAAGAAGGTTGCTGTCTGACGCAATTTGCTCATTTCATCTTTATTGTAATTGCCTCGCATTGGGACTGAAATTGTGAAATGCGCACAGATGTTTTGCTGCTGCATTTCATTAATGCTATGGTAATTTAGCATTGAGTTATATCATATTAATAATAGTGGGCTAATCATGATTTCTTTCGTGTTTTATGCTTATTTAGCTATGCTAATAGTTTAATACTTGCTGTCTTGCACTCGGGAGTATTGAGCTGCAGTTTGTAAATCTGTCCGACATTTTGATTGTTTTTGTGAAATATTCTCGGTGAGTTCACTGTATTTCATTGCATATGACTTGTTATGTGAGAGTCTTATTTAGATGAAATACTGTTCGTATTGTACTTGATGCCATAATGAATGTCGCAAGGTTCATTACTGTTACTGTAGTGCTTCTTTGTTCATGTTTATTTCAGTGTTCTGCTGTTTTTCATAGAAAATATTCGATTTGTTCGTTGACCTTGGCTAAAAACAGCCGTTAAGCAATATAATTTGTTTGCATTTATGCGGCAAATTCCTACTGATTATTGGGTGTTTTGTTTTCTTTAGATAGCCTCTATCTCTATGCGTTATCTGTTTCCGTAATCCATTTGGCTCCATCTGACGTCTCGATTGTATATTTTGTGCTGAGCGAGTGCTTAATAATTTCACGACACAGTTAGGCTGCGAGACAAGGCCGTTTATCTTTCAGTTTCGTTGCGCACATAAGAAAACTACCTGAATATAATTTTAAAATGGCCCTTAGAAATTCAGTAACAAATAATACGTTGTTTTCATTTCCAAAAATCGCACGTTTTATGGAAAAGACTCTTTTACTACAAGAACTATGTGTTACCATCTGTCCTATATTCTCGTTTACGGCAACAGTGGCCAATGAACGCAGACTTCTGTGTGACGTAACAATTGATAATTTATCAGCTGTAGCGGATAATTCTCACTTTGTACTGCTCGTTTTTGCGTTGCGTAGCCTTTCCATCGTCTTTTTTAGTTATCATTAGTTAAGTTTTTCTAGGACGGTGTCAAAAAGTATAGGTAAGTTATTAAACACCTGTAGATCCTTACCATGAATAGCAATTTTAGTTGAGCGCGCACTAGCTCATGGAACGTTGTTAAATGCGTACGGTATGGTATGGTAACTTCAAGGAAGGCTAGACCTAGAAAGATATGTCACAATTAACGATTATTTTTATGCTTGTATGGAAGATTTATGAATAATTTAATTACGATTCTCGAGTATTCAGAAGACTCTATACTACTATATAGACTACGGCATATTTGATTCAGAAAAAAATGGCCGTTTGTGTAATGTACGTTTGTGAGGAAGAGGGGAGAGTAACCAATTTTACTGATGTCATAGAGTCGACAAGAACCCGACAAACAATGATAAGTTATGCAAAAGTTGAAAGAAAAACAGCATTGTAGGCGATTGAGAGGTGAGAAATCAAGTTGTAGGCCGACAGACTTGTGATTCGAGATTCAGTTTAGAATTAGATGTAGTCTAGTAAACCAACACTGCATCAGATAAAAAATGCATTATATATGCGAAGTATTAGTCAGTATTTAGTGGTATTTTTATTAGTCGTAAAACACTCGTGTATTTCCAAATATGATGTTCTTCCTCATTTTCGCGCTCCCGAAGTATGTGCATCAAGATGGCGCACAACCTGAACCCTCACCTGGTATATATACTATGTTCAGGTTGTGCGTCATCTTCGGGAGCATCCTCATTCTAGATACTGTACTACAGAAGAAAGAAAGCGACAATGTTTTGCCCATCCTACCTAACGCAGGTCCCCATTGCTGCTGCTATTAGCGCTATACCTGTAGGAATGAAAAGAATCGAAGAAGAAATCTTAATAGACTATTTATATTGGAATACATGACATTCTTCTGCACCCGATGAGAATGAGGATTTCGGAAGCAATTCAGATGCAAGTCGATTAGATCTTGAAGTTAATTTAACAAATATCATTTATTAGTTTTTTTCAGACATCTGTTACTGTCGAATAACCTGTTTCTATAAATAGTATTGCCTTTGTTTCAAATACACAACCACATAAATTGAAAAAAGACTCATTGTAATATTTATGTTCAATATGTTATGCACACACACTGTATTCAATTAATTTTCTTGACTTTCTCATGTAAATTCTCAGTGAGAAATAACCGATTTATTTGTGTTTTTGTGATCACCATGTTAATTTGTGATTTCATCGCATAAAAAGTAATGCGTTAGATCGCTTATATAAATTAAATGCAACTTTTTATGCTGTGTCATTGAAAACCTATGGTTATTAATTTTCTGAGAATCTCTCATATCCAAGTTTTTCGTCAAGATTTTAATCCGATTTATTTTTGTGCTCACTTACTTTGTGACTTCATCGCATAAAAATTGATGGCTTTTATAAAATGAATGCGACTATTTATGCTGTGTCGTTGTAAACCTGTGGTTATTGATTTTCGGGAAAGCCCCTTATATCCAATTTTGCATTGGGATTTTTGAAGCATGTTTTATAAGAAATGTGCAACTTTCGTTAGTGGGAACAAGCTGTAATGCGCTCAGTATGTTAATTTTCATACAAAACTAAAGAATTTATGTAGTTCCCAGATGTGCGCTACGAAAGTCACTTTCTAGGCGTTTTCGGGACCTCGCCCGCGTCCTAATTACAATTCTCCCGTGTTTAAAGTTCAATATTGTGGGCATTTGGATTTCAGCTTACTTATCGCAGTTGGATAGACGGGGATAATTTGGAGAGGATTGTCTGGACATAGACTTTTATGGTTTAATTGGGATACAGCATTACCTTCCTGAGTGGGCAGGTTACAGATAATAGACTTAGTTACTGCACCGGAGGCTCAAAACTCAATATGAATAAAAAATAGTTTTTTTACAAATAAATAGCGTAACAGTTATTATATCAAGTGGCACAATTATTAATGGAACTGATGTAACCTATATAACATGCGTCCAAAAGCTTTTTCAAATATTGGGTGAAAACTAGATTAGGGTACGATGTTGCTGTTTTATAATTTCAACCATATCTTTCGTCTTGCTTTTTAGTTCTTGTGTCTAAAATTTTTGGCCAGAGGGTTATGTTTTGCTACAAAATGTTTCCTAATATCGTATTTTTGGAACAACGCACACGTATCATTACATGTTAAGCAGACAGCTTTTGATTTACTAGTGTCCATAAAAAATATTTCTGTGTCCATTACTTGTTAAAAGCAAGACATTCGCAATCCGCTTTGCGTTTCTTACTCATATTGATGGAGTTATTACAATCACTGGTAAATTACGGCAGCTGCACGGAAAGAGTTAATAAAATGAGAACCCCAGAATTCTAACGCGCATATAATGAGCAGCACACCATAACTATCGGAGTCATCATGACTTTATTTGATAAATGCCATCTGCTCATTTATGCCTCAAAGTTGTATAGTACCAAGAGAGTAAATCATTTTTGCTGCAGGAGATGCATTAAATAACATTGGAAGATTAGCAAGTGACGTGAGTAGTAAATATACAAGAGAAGCATTGCGTTGCAAAGCATTTGCAAGCGTCAAATTTTTCCCTACTCTCAACACAAAATATTTTAAATACGATTTATATCAATTTGATGTTGCGAGAGTTGTGAAAATTCTCCAAAATTGAATTTAAATGCGATATCTAGTATGCGACGCAGTAAGACTTGTATTATTATGGAAATATAATACCTGTAGAAGTGGTTTTCCATCATCTCTCGCTCCGACATCAGTTGTTTAGTGCATTTTTTTATTTTTTCATCCAATGTTTGAAAGACGGGCAAAAAATATTTTTGATGAAACATTTTCTCCCATACTTGCCTGCTTTGTATTGAATCCCAAGTTGGGACATCCGTTTCAGCGTTCTAAAATAGATTTTCAATTTTTACAAATTTATAAAAACATTTTTAAAATAAACTGAAAGTATTTTATTGAATCACATTTGAATTGTCTTTTGCCACATTCAAAATGCACTCGCACATAACCAGAATAGCATCATCCAGGTTTCTGCCGAGTGATTCTGCCAGTGTGCATAAATTTGTCCACAGCATCTCCGAAATATACTTTTTTGTATCGTTCTGCGTCACAGGTCTCATATTTTCCTTGTTGAGTATACTGCAAAAATCGTACGTAAGTTGAATGATTTAAATGAATATATATGAGAAAATGTCTATTAATTAAACATTACAACGTTACCTTAACATTGTATCGGGATCATTTTGGAAGCCGAATAGCATGCAGGAGTGTGTAATGAAATGCAGGATAGCTACGGCTTGCTTTGAAAGGCGATCAGATGGATCGTCTTTGCCTTTATGTTCTCCATTCAGTTGATAACCACCTTGAGACTCTTCTTGTAAATTAACCTTCTTATTTCCGGCGGCTAGGGTATGGTATATTCCGCCAATTACGACACCACATTTGGGACAATGCGATTGAACCCATGGGCGCTTACAATTGCCTATTGTGTAAACGTGGCCATTTTCGCATTCGTAGGCTGCGACATCTTTCATTGCATCTCGAAGCATGAAAACATGCGACTGCGGCATGGCTGGCCACATTTTATTTTTTATTTCTTCTGGTCGCATTATTAGCTCATGGAACTCGTGCATCATTTCGCAATCTGCTAATGCAACACATCCAGCCAGGGAAACTAGCTGGAAAAGAATCACTCTTCTATTTTCCGGGAGCATGAGTTGATTGTTTACAAACTTTGGTCTGTAAGTAAATAGGTCATTTACGCTTAGAAAACGATAGGATTCGAAGTTCTCGATATGCCTTTTCAATTGTTCAATTTGGCTTTCATTTTTATTTCGCGCAATGGCAAATACTTTCGTCAACAAATTATACTTGGTCAGATTATTATAATCATGATCTTCAGTTGTATCTTCACTTGCGTCTACAAACACATCTTCAGTTTCATTTTGACAAGGAAACCAACCAAGTAAAATGTCATCAAATGTACCAGAAGAAGAATTGTCTAGCAAAAATTTACTTTCAGCGTAGTCTTGTCCCATTGTAAGCCAGTAGTCAATGGAATTTTCTTGAACGAAATTCCGTAAATTTTCTGGCATGAAGTGTTTGAAATTTGCAGATACGTGATATACCCAATCTTTTCCAAACAGTTGAAATCCAGTCTTGATGATAAATTTTTTGATTTGCTGACTCTCATCACTTTTTGTAATTTCTTTTATTGCCAGGTATAAAGATGGTGGAACAGTGTAGCGTTTCTTGTTTATATTTTTTTGAATATCCGAAACGAGTACGGTGATTGCGCATCTGATCTCCGATACAGCCCGTATTGAATCTGTTGAAAGATCGTTTGTATCAGAAACAATAACATCCCAGCTATTCCTGACTGAGTCACACTGCGTTAGAAGTTGCTGCTTTGTTTCGGCAGTATTTGTTTTCATGTCTGTTTCTATGGAATAGAGAACCACGTTGACTAAATCGCGAAGCTTTTTATTATCGAGACTTTTGTACAAAGGATCCATCTCTTCCTCATTTAGCCCAGAAAACGATCCTTCCAAGACAAGCCAAATACAACTCTTTGTAGCTATATTTAGGTTTATGGCTTCATTTAAATCGGTTCGATTGTCTGTTTCGCGTGTCGAAAGAGTTACGAGCTCATGAAGCAGATTTTTTGCCTCTTCCTTGCTTGCGCTATCAGTTTTTGTAAAACAAAATTGACGAAGATACTGTAGAAAGAAGCTGGTACAATTTGATTTAAACTTAGCAACAGCTCTTTTGTCTTCTTCAGATAACTCATGGACTCTTATTGTAAAATCTTCCTCAATAGTCTGTGGACAAGCAGGGCATTGTTTACGAACATCGGGCGAGGAAAATACGTTATTCAAACATTTCGTACATATGAAATGGGTACAGACGAGCTTAACGAGATCCGATTTCGGCTCTCTGCACATTTGGCAGATCGTTTCTTGCCAGGAAACAAGATGTTTCATTCTGATTGCTTCATAGGACTTTCTCAATGCATTTGAAATAATTTTTAAAAAATTCTTCGATTTGATTGCATATTTACGAGATGCCTTGATCCAACGCTTTGCTTGAGCCACAATTACTCTGACGTAGTTTGCAAAAATATCTCTGTTTTCTGCGGTGGGGAGCAGGTGTGAAAGTAAAAGATCAAATAGAAGAAGTGGTTCGTGCTGTTTTATAAGTTTGGCTTTAGTATCCTGATTCCTGACTAATTCATCTAAATATCTTTTTAAAATGCCCTTTATCTTGTTTGAATTTTCCATCCAAATCTTGCAATCATTCTCATCAATCGATAATGCTTTACCGTCAAACCACTTCAGCATTTCAATAAGAATTACCTCATAAATATAGCACTCTTTGGATTCAATGCTAACGAGCCATTTCGAGTCATCTACTACAGAGAAGATTTCGGGACAAACAAGGTAAACACTATGAAGCATTGTAAGATGCCTTTCGTATTCCTTGAAGCAATAAAACACAATAGCAATTGAATCTGCATCTTGGTACTGCTTGCTCGCAACCATTATTTCTCTTTCATGCATACACGCAGCAACTAGTATGTTCGTTAAATGTTTTTTCTCCAAGTCATCATTTGCTTGAATAAGCCAAAAACCAATGACATCTTCTGCAAACGCCTGGATCAGATTTTTCTCGCCCCCTGCAACAACAGCATCTTTTATTATTGATATTTGTTTATGCATTTGTCGATAGTTATTGTAGAAACTTTCTCTTTTTTCGCGATATGGCGCATCCTGTATACATTTCCATATTGATTCCAGCTTGTCATAAATGCAGGAACTGAAAGGAAGTTGGCCGATGGTTTTATCATTGTTACCTTTAATGATATATTCATGTTTAGAATGTAGATCGTTCGCGCTCATTTGATAACACTCAAACCACCTCAACCACATGTCTTGTTTCCAAGGAATATTATCTAGTAAAAAGTTCAAGTTGTTGTTTTCATCCACTTTGCTTACGATATATGCAAGTGCATCGGCTGAATATCGTTTCAGACATAAATTCAGGCAATTGGTAAATGTTCCACCTTCTTGTAAATTTGCACGAGACATTGCTTCTTTTACAATCCATTGATAACGGTCATCGTGTCCTATGCTGTTTTTATGTAGTTCAACCATTTTCTGGCCTAAAAGTTGGAGGAAATGTTTTTTTTCAGAGCAGATTGTTTTTAGTATGTTTATGCGTTCCACATTTCGTTTGCTAGAAAATCCGTCGGTTTTTAGTTTTGACATTGATTCACAGATGCAATCTTTTATTAGTTCCGCAAAGTCAAAACATAAATTTTCTTCAAAGCCATTGAATTGAGCAACTCCCATTTCAAAAATTTCCAATAGTGATTTTTCGCAGAGACTTTTCAGTAAATTTCTCTGATCATCTCTAGGTCTAAGTTCATCAATGTATAAATTTTGGAAATCTGATGATTGTTGAATTATAAGGCATTCTTTTGGTGCATTGGCGTAACCGCTTTGTCTTTTTGTAGAAAGCAAAAACGCAACAATTACAGGAGGCCGTGTATCCATATCATGGATAGTAGCCAACTGCTTTAAAGCATTCATCAAATTATATCTTGCACACGCAAGAAGTTCTCCATGCTCATGCTTGTGTGCTTGGGGACACTGTATCAGTAATATTTTAGCATTTTTGTTATTGTTTTCCTCTTTCCAGGCTGTGAAGAATTCGTTAAGACTTTGAATATATTCGTCTTGCGTTTGGAATTGGTTCAGTGAAAGAAGCATTACACTTTGTTCAGGCAAGCACAAAATTTCTTCAAGTTTTTTACGATCTTGATCAGTCAGAATGTTGGAGAAAGATGTTATTTCCAATCTAGTTAAACCAGTCCCATCATTGCATAAATTATCAAGAGCATTCAGCAATGTATCATGAACTTGTTCGTCAAGATACTTTTTAAAAAATTGTTCCCCATCCACTTTTAGGTTGGATTCATTCGATTTCAGCCTAAATACGGAGTCGATTGTAGCAGATTGCAGAAGAACGTCTTGAAGACTCTCTATTCTAGCGCCATGTGCAAGTATTGTGGAGCTAACAGTATCATCATTGTATCCTACAAAAGCGTCGAGTTTGTTAAATCCTACAACGTTTGAAAATGCATCGACCCATTTTTCAAGTGTCTTTAAAAGAATTTTTTCATTTGTATTTAATATTGTGTCGGCCAAGAGATGGTATTTTTCTAATCGATTTATCAAAGGAATTGGATATGTTTCATATACAGTTTCTTGTTTTTCAATGATGATCAATCTAAAATCTTTTGACATCCGACATTTTACTCTGTGACCTCCTAATCCTATGTCAACATATCTTTTTCCTCCAACTACAATGTAATGTTGATTCAATGCATCGTAAAGTGATTCGTGGATTTCACTTGTTCCAAGTAAAACCACTGTCCGACCTGTTTCCATGCAAACTTTTATTTTGTTTATGTTTCTACACAATTCTGTATAACTGTGATCTCCTGGAAAGCTTGAACCAAAAATGACTTGTACCTGTGTGGCAAAGTTGGGAACAACTTTTTCAAGTAATGACACAGAGGAATACTGGTTTGTAAGCAACAGCATGAATCTACTTTCACAATCTTCAAGATTATCACGTATCATAGTTTGTACTGAAACTTCAGTGGCTATTTCGTTTGTGAATAATTTCGTTACAAATTCGAAAAAAGAATTGAAATGAGAATTTACTCCACCGCTAAAATTTCTCTGAACAAAGTACATAATGTCACTCAGCTTGATTTTGCCATCAGTAGACTTTTTTGCGTGTATCATTTTGATGAGACAATAATAATCACGGAGTCCAAAATATTCTTTAGTCCGCTTCTTTGTTTCTGTGTTGTAGATAGCTAGATATGCGTATGTCAGCTGCTGTAAAATATCTGTGTCAGCTTGCATCATATTTCTATCTTTGTGAAATATTCCTTTTGCTGTTTTTATCAAATCCTCTTTTTCCGGAGTGCTCCTGGTAACAAATATTCCACGATTCATTTTCGCTGGATCTAAAGCCCAATTAGAAATTCCAACGAATCCCACTATTTTGTGCTCTTTAAACTCCGTTAATGTTCCGCTTTTTGTGCTACCGGACTCGAGTAATGGGTGAAGAATCTGTGATAAATATTAAAAATTTTTTGTCAACAAACGGTAACATCATATCCATTATTTTTTTAGGTACGCGCTTAAATTTAAGTACCTTAAGGGGCATATTTTTTGAATCTTCCGCAAGTCCTATTTCGTCCAATACTATAACAACAGTAAAATTGCTCAGCTTTTTATTTTTCTGCATTTTTGCACCGTTCGAAAAAATTCTTGCTATTCCAGCAGCATCAGTCAAAGCACTGCATTGGTAATTCAGAATTTGAATCTGTACATACAAATTAAAATTTAGCAAGTTATTCGACACAAAAAATACACATGCTACACCTAAATTTTAAAAATTCACCTTTTTTAGACGTTTGTAAAGATTGGATCCTGAAGCGGATCCTTTCATATTATCACCAACTATAGTTTTAGCCAAAGATTTTGAACTTCCAGGTTTCCCGATAATAAAAAGTGGAATCTTCAAGTCAGAGCATATCGTCATGAGAAATACATTTTCTCGAAGGGCTTCATTCCGCGCAATATTGTCATCAATTTTAGTGTTATGGAGAAATGCCTTCTGACAGGCAATAAATTCTTCATCTAAATCTGCCTCATCAAGTTCAATATAGTCTTTCAAGTGTCTGCATATTTCCTTTCTGAATGGTTGACGTTCTCTGAGTGACACGTGGTAACAAATACCAATCGTCTGTATCAAGCATCTCATGTAGGGATTCATATCTGGAACTCGTTTACGCATTTTCTTGTATCGCTCTTCTATATTTTTCTCCAGTAAAGGGAAAATTTCACCCTTGTTTCGATAGAACCATTTAATGCATAATATGCATCTTTCAACGTCTCGGAGACTTACATATCGGCATTCATCTAACTGTTTTCTCATGTATGATTGAGCTTTTGATACAACATGTTTTGTTACTTCAACTTGGCCAGGTAGGTTGAGATCTAGTCCGAGCTGTTTGGTCATTTGTCCTATGTATTTTTCTTCGGCTTCTTCATCAAGTTGTCTAAAGTCCCATACAAAAGGCTGCATACTCGGTGGCAATGCAACTACTTTATAGACGAGATGTCTCATAGGAATATTTCCAAGCCGACTTTTTGTTTTGTCTTGAGCAACATGAAAACCCAAAGCAACATTATTGTTGTGGTTCAGTGCTTTTTTGGTCAACTCTTTATAAGGGTTGCAGGCAGCAACTATCTGTAAATTGTTTTTTTGAAACAATTCCCCGTTAACAGTTTGGTCGCACATCACTTCTTTGATAGCGTAAATGGCATTCGTAGTATTTGCTTCATCATAAAATAGTATAGTTTTAATACCATGTTGGGCATTGTTCTCTGCAATGCTATTTGCTTCTTCGACACTCATGTAAATATCCTTTGGAGTAACTCCACCGTGAATCTTCAATGTTTTTGTGGATTCATCTATCTGCTGATTCTCTTCCTTTGTTAGTTTGTTATTTCTGTTTAATTTGCTTATGAATTCAACCATCCTTGTTTTACCACAGCCTGTTTCACCCATAATTATGACTGGAATGCCACATCTCATCCTCATATAAATTGCCAGAATTTTTAGTACGTTGTCGGTCGTCAGTTCAAATGTGCAATCTGGATCAATTACATTTTGCAAGCCCATGACCGTGCTCAATATATTCAACATTTTCTTACGATCATATTTATAGAAATCAGTATTAATTGGTACTTCTTGAATTTTTAGTGCCACTACGAGCTCCTGGCTTGCAATATTTTTCTCTAATAACAAACCTTTTTCATTCAACAGATCTCCATTTTTGTCGATGTGTACGTTGATAAACGTCATACTAGACCCGTCTTCGTTGAAAAAGACGTATGGGTGTGCTTTATTCTCCCACTTTCTTCGGACTTTGTACGCATTGAAAATTGCATTCTCGTGGTCGATGTCACTATTACTTTCATCGTGAATCTCTAAAGATGGCGTTGCAAAATCTTGTGACATCCGTATCATGAACTTGACAGCAAACTGTTTTAGTCCTTTCATTGTCCACATTTTTTTACCGTCGATTTCTATTTCTTGGCAAAATATGGAATTTTCGCAGTTTTCTAGTTGCACATTTAGAAATATTGCAAAATGTTCTAGCTGTGCCCATGTTGGATTAGGCGTTGTATAATACTTTTTTAATATTGAAACGCAATCAGAGGGTGTTCCGGTTGGTTCAGCGTATTTGAAAGCGTCTAAATCCCCACCTTCTTCATAATATTTCAGGTACTGATACGGTCGCTGAAATGCGGGCGACATTATCTTTGTTTTGTCTGCCAGTTTAAAGTGTTTCATTTGTTCTGAAGTGAGTGTCCATAACTTTTCAACTTCGTCACGACATTTTTCTGGTAGATCATTTAAGATGGATTTGGCTGACGCGAGGGGTATATCGCAAACAGACAAAATCGAAAGTAACGCTCTGTCTTGATTTGATAGTTGCATTTCATAATTTGTTTGATATACGAATTCATACCAATTATACGACTGGTCCAATAGTTGAGAAATTTTTTCAACTCCCCCAAAGTTTTGGCTATCTGTTGCGTTAGTTACAATTTCTTTCAATTTTTCTGTCGTTTTGTTACGGATCTCAACAGATTTGAAGATTGCTTCATCGGGCCCAAGACAGTCTATGCAAGGTAAAAGGTTCAAAATACTGCTAACTGGAATCTGAAATTAAACTACATTATTTAAGCGATTTCATAATATATATATAAATATAAGTTGGTCATTTCAAAATAAATGCTGACCTGATTGTGGGTCAGATTCGACTTTGTTACTTCGACAACATACTGGTGATTGTTTTGCCTGTGCCATATAGATCCCGATTTATTTTGAATACTACCGAGCACAAGTAAATCAAACATGAACTTTTCTATTCCGTATTGGACCTATAATCAAAACAATTAAATTTTGAAACACAAAATCAGTTCATGTTCTCAATTTTTTGGAGAATAGTTTATCATATTTTAATGTTGTGTTCAACAATCGTTGCACATATAAATATTCGGAGAATTATTAAGACGATTTTGCTTACCGCGGGCGTAAGATCGAGATGAATGAAATGAGAATGTTCATTTCTTATATGGTCTCCTCTATAGAGACGCTCAATGACAAGTTCAGTATCGACCCATTCTTCGACAAGAGGAATTGTCGTATTATGGTATGATTTGTCCAGTTTTTCTTTTAAATTCCTGATAAAGAGTGTTTTGCCTGAAAGTTGTGAAAATATGGACGGTGAAAAAAAAGTTGTAATGCTTGCTTAGAATCAACTTGAATCAATAATTACTTTTTTGTGTGTGTTTCAAGAGTCCGCAAAATCGGGTGTCAGGATGCATGGAGATACTTTTATTTAGTATGCAGGTATTTTAGTCACGTTTTGATTTGTTTTAAATCAGACTATCTTGTTTGTAAACTTTTGCCTGATGCGAGCGGCAGTTATATCCATGTTATCACGTAGAACGTTCACATATAAATACTAGATTGGCCTTTTTACACAGAACCTACTGGATGGGGAAGTTATAAGGTTGTTTGAAACTCATTAGACATCATGTTATGTAAGGATTATGGCAGTATCTTTAGTTTGAAATAATAAATTTAACTCTTCTTTTTTTCGCAAAAACAACGCGAGACAAAAATTTTGAAATCACCAATATCGCTATGTGTGTTACGAAAATTCCAAGTTCTAAGCAAAAGATTTTGACAGTCAACATCATGGGTTGACAACCTGGGGCCCGCCAAGCAAAATAATCCGGCCTAAGACATATCAATTAATTACAAGAGTACGTCCGTCATTGCTTATTGAGTTTCAAACTGCAGCGTTACCACTGTTCAAAAGGATTTGCAAACTCTTCAATCCATATATTAATCTTGAATGAACTCAGGATATTGACTAGAAAATTGTTTTAGTGTATAAACTGAGAAGTAATTCACTTCAATTACCCTGCCTACAATGAATTTTAATGATACAAAGCATTTTACCCGTCTCAAAATCCCATTCGATGAGGAGTGTATTATATTTCAGAGGAAAAACGATAACCTAGAAAAAAGGTCATGGGCCGTTTGTATATTCTGAAATATGAGACCAGGTTATAAGGTATTATATGAAAACTTTGCGGGATTTTTTTAGAGAAATATTATTTTGGCCATGGGATAGATAATATTTTATTGGGACATACAACACCAAGGCTTTAATCACGGGATATTCCCATCATGGTATATGGAACGACGACTCAGACGCGATAGAAAGATAAACTAAAGAATGTAAACTTTCGATTTCACAAAAATGTTCATAACGAAGTATATACTACAATATAATAAAGATGGGTTAATTTACTAACGGTGATGAAAACGATTAAAACCAACGATAAAAATAAGAATTCGAATAAAGTATTTGGGTTGCAAATTCACTCCTCTAATCAGAACAACTCAAAAAAAGTTTGGAAATTTGACGTTTTCGATCCCTGGTCAATATGATCGCGCGAAAGGGGCGGGCTTGCGGGACAGAAACGTCACACCCTCACAGGCTCTATTATGATTGATACCAATTTATTTACCTACTAATTAAAAACATTTTTATCGTATAGAAATTGTGCATAATTGAATCATACGAAGTGAAACTTTAAATGTTCATTATAAAAGATTAACTTGGTGAATTTAAAAACATACTCATCTTTAATATTACCTTGTCCTGATCTTTTGGAGGAAACTACTTTTACCGAAGGGTTGTTAATATGATCGCCGTCTTCTGTATTTAAGTGCTGTGCGAGGTACTTTGACACTTCTTCTTTATTCAAACTTTCTGCGGGCTTTTCCATTTGATACTGTAAAGATATACGTTTGAACTTTGAAGTTACATTCTTGCGTTATACACGCAAAAGAGATTTGTATGGTAATGTTACCAATATTTTAAAAACAAGTACCTTTTCAAAGCACTCGCTGATGTAATGTTGTTGATCAGAAGATATGAGAATCAATCGGTAATTTTCGGTAGCGTATCCATTACGAGAAATCATGTCACTTATTTTTTCAAGTTGCTTGCTTACATTGAAAGATAATTTTTCGGTGTAAGCCATGCAATATATCTGTTGACCTGCAATTTAGTCCGAAATTTAAAACAAATAGATAACCCTCAGCGAGGTTGCCTTGTTATATTATTATACGAATGAAAGGGCACATAACTCATTGATATACTAACTGCAACTTTGCAGTTATAACTTTATACAACGCCCATTGTTGACTTTTGATTAAGCTAACTGATTGAAGATATTTAGTTAATTCTCTGCATTGGGACAATGTCTGCTTACCATTAGTGTCGCACTTGCACATAGCTCTTCTCATGAACCGCTCCACCTCGTCCGACGTTGTTTCTTCGCCACATATAAGAACCTCTGATGCAGTTGGTAGAGGTTGAGTGTTGTCTTCCATATAAATCGACAAAACCGTCTGTAAAACTTCGTCATCACGACATATTAGAAGATTTTGTCTTCCAGTTATTAAATTATGTGAAAGTTTTCTGTGTGGATTGGGGCGAACGTTTCCTTCTGCATGTAGCACGGTCAAGAATTTGCCCAGATGTTCTACACTAAGATAGTCTTTCAGCGTCAAAACCTTGGGAGAGAAAAATAGAAATGTGTAATATAGTTCAAATTGTTGGGGTTCACCTTTCTGCAATATGGGACTACCTACAAAGTTGAAATAGCTAAATATAAAACTGTATGTAATCATGCATGTTTAATGTTTGATTATATTTAGAGGTGTTTTTCAAGGTACATACCGAAGTTTTTTCGAAATACATTTCACAAATGCTCGATACGACAAGCGAAATATCCGCTTTAGTTTTTGAAGCGACGGTTTGCAATTCTTTAATGACTCCTGTCAACGTGTTTGATGAACGGTTGTGCAACAGTGACGGAGCTTCTTTGTCGCCAGTTGTGGAATTTTCAAATGCTAAGATAACGACAAAAATATAATAATTCATAATACGCAGAAACTCAAAAAACTTGAGACTTGGTTTGTCACATTTGCAATTATGCGAAAAAGACATAACTGCTATATATACCCACATCGAAAAATTTGAAATCGCATATATATAAACTTTTCGTTTTTTTTTACAATCCACTCGCAATAATTTCATTCAGGTGCCCTATATAGGGACCGAAATTGAAATGATCCTATTAAATTTCAACTCCCTCGCTCACAATTAGATTTTACTATGAACGGATTTCAGTTACAACTTTCAAAGTACGGATACTTAACTAGCCCACATGGGATAAGAAAGCTACTACAAGCATGCAGACGAAATTCAAGCAAGTCAAATCATACAGTTGTACAAAGATTTAGCAGAATCTAATAACATAGTATTTTTCAAAGCGCCATAGTGGCTTTCAAATAATATATTTAGGAATCTGAACTCCAAATAAACGTCCGCAACGTCGTTCAAACCTTTAGATAATAGCCGATATACTTGAACCGTTTTGTGTGTCGAGCAGGTCTTCATTTTTGCATTATATCATACTTGGTAAAGGTAATCAAAAATAATTTTTTAGTAATTAATCGTTTTATTTTGTCATTCATCGAACTCAAATGTTGGTAGCGCAAATTTTATATTAAAATATCACATCCAATTTAATATTTAATGAGTAAAAGACTTAATATTGGTGCATTTTAAACATATAAGTAGAAAACGTAATGAAATGATTCAATACCACATGATTTTTGAAATTCTTGACACAACTTTTCCACCAAATTTGTGTCCAGTTCGTTCAATGTAACCCAGTTGTTGCACTCTTCCAAATCCTTGTACCCCTCGGCTTGAACTGCAGCTATTGCAAGTGATTCAATCAATCCTTCTTCCTCAATAAGTCTTCTGATTGCAATTCTCTTCGACTCAGTATCGCTGTATTGAACTGAAATTGAATAAGGCTATTCAAGATAAAAACAAACGTTGATAATACGAACAAAGCAAAATGCACTAAAACTAACAACAATACCATTTTCAGCATTTTCATTTTTCAGCTGCGCATTCATTTTAACACTGTCGATTTTTGTTGCTTCTTCTAGTGCGCTTCGTATTGAAGAAGAGAAGAGTTTACGGGAATCACTGGACATCGATAACAGCGCAAGTACCTATTTATATATTATCAAATATTACAGATGCAGCTAAAGTATTTTAAAGTAATTCGTTGACTTGAGACCGTGCATGTAATCGTTTCTCTGACTTTTTAAAATCAGAGCATATGCGTATTACTCGTAATTGTACCAACAGCATTTTTGCATTATCTAACTTTCAATAAACTCAACCAGACAACTATACCGAACATCGCTTTTGTCTGTCGACAATATGCAATCATCAGTTTTCGCGAGCATTTATAAATTGAGAAAAATGTGTAGAGAGTTTCCACCTTTACCCAACTGCAGAATTACTCTCCGTTAAATATCTTGATTTTAACCGTAGCGAATGTGAGCTGTAATTATGGATTTCATTGTTATTCAATCCTTCAATATTAATAGTATATATGTTGAATTCAATGAAATTAGGTCACTGGAGCTATTTTTCTGATCCAAGCACTACATCTGTGCATATAGCCTTCTTTTTACCGATGACGTCTTTCTGGCTTGCTCCGAGTGTCGAAATAATAGTGTCTTTTATGTTCTTATGATTTCTGCATTTGATTCGACCGCTTAACTGCATTAGGGTTCCAATTTTTTATATATATCTGTATCTGGATACAATTGTGCATCTTTGCAATACACGAATATTTGGCATCACAATACATTGCGTGCTTATTGACTTTTGAGGAGTCCAGATTGGAGTTAAACTCATTAACTGTCAACCCAATAACACGTGAGTGAACATGAAGATAGGGTCATTCTCCCCCTATATTTTGGTTACCATCCAAACGTGTCTAGACAAGCAACCATTAGGAAATTCAATTCAACAAGTGGAATATCAATTTCATGGTGGCAATTCAGGGTTTCAATAACACAGACGACAGCTTTCACAAGTAAATACCTTTTCATATTTACTATCCCCACCTTTTCGCGGACAAAGGACTCAAACTTCCTCGCCGTATTTTAGTGTTACGCAAGTCAAATATTAGACAATCTCAGCGACTTGAAGAAAAGGAAGATTCAGGAAACGGGCGAACAAATTTCATCCCCCTCTTAAAATGAAATCGAAGCAAATAGGTGTAGCAATACAAACTACTACAACCCTGAGCGAATATTGAGATTTTACTTTGTTCAACTTGTTCCGGAATCTGTTGCTATATATGTCAGACGACTTTTCGCCAATAGTAGAACGTAACGCTCCATGAATCAAATTGTAGTAATGGCAGAAAATATCTGGGATAACTATCTTGCGACAGATGTCGCTAGTTTTCCGCAAACCAAAACACAATCTGATACAGGAGTTTTTGCTGAGTTATTGGCAGAAATAAACAAATGCGATTAGAAAATTTACAGTTAAAAAGTCAGTGAGACAAAGTTGAAAAAGAGAACAAACTTACAGCGCATATTAAACCGACAGCAGAGACGCAGCGATTATCAAGATAGGCCGCCCCAGAGACACAACAATTCAAGAAGACCTCCTCCTAACAGGCCCCGTCCTTATAATGGCCGCCCCGATAGTACGCCTTTTCGACGTGATAACGCCCAACCAATGGATAATTCTCCGGCAAACCCAGATCCAAACCTTGCCATATTACCATGCCACTTTTGGCGATACCGCTTACAAATGCAAGGGCGACTGTTGTGTAGTGATATTTCATATTTTATGTTAATTTAATTCAGTGCTTGAGTTCATGACTTTTCATGCAGTTATTATCTTGCTCTGGCCTGTCCCTAGTGTATACAACTCTGTACTCTGAAATATTGGGTTCATTCTGGATAATATTCTACTCTCCGATATAGAAATCTAGGGTAGAGATATTGTTACAGGTTGCACCTTAGACCCCCAAAATTATCAAGTCCGAGCCATAGTTGTCGGATCCCGGATCTGTGGAACGTGAAAAACACTATTGTTTCGACACTCGGCAAGCCGGAAACACACTTCAGTAGTGCTTGGAGCTGCCACGATATCTCTTAATCAGAAAAATAGCTCTAGCGACCCGTTCCATTGAATTCAGCATACTACTAATATTGAGAGGTTGAATAATATTGAAATCCATAGTTACAATTCGCTACATAACAGTATAATTATCAACCAGAAATTCTCGACAGATCTAGTAACGTGCCATTGATAGACATTCAGAAATATAGAAATGCTTCCGATTCCAACTTATATACATTGACGAACAACTGAATATACATATAGCGCCAAGTGATGTACACACACAGCTGATCGAACTCAATATACATAAGTATAGAGCCACTCAAGTGAAGGTCATACACAGTTAATGTGAGATGCACATGCAGCCAGATTATTCATAACTAGCCAACACAATAAATGGACTTTATAAAAAAGAACTCATGTACGCCCGTAAATAAAACTGCATAGACATGTATTTAAGTAACACAAATAATGTGAAGATGTGATAAATATGTAGAATTACACGGTGAAAAGGGTTCAAACAGGCCAAAAATAGAACAATCAAAGGTACCCAATTGACGCACAATAGTCTATTCAGGTAAAAATTTCTGATTTTGTTTTTGTCGGCAGCGCCTTCCTCAGTTGTGAGGCAATATGATTTCATAGATTGGGCCTATTGTACCTACGTATTTATGCTCTACCAGTGCATGGATCTAAATGTACCGTTGTATCATAGTATGTACCAAATAAAATGTAGAAGCTTATCGCTGATTGATTTTTACGTCAGTTTATTTCACCTTCTTCCCACTTTTTATACGTTATTTTTCAGATTTCAATCGGTTTGGAGTTTTAATTAACGAAAGAACACTTTCACATATCGTCGGCTAACTTAGCTCCACCCTACAAAAATAATCTGGCGATGCATTTTAAGTTGAACAAAATGCAAAGTGAGTAACGGATTTAAATTTACATACCAATTTCAAAACATACCTGATCTGGCAACGATGCAGTGTTCTTTGTTTTTGCCAATTCCTTGCATAAGTAAGTAATTTGCTGAATATTGTATTCATTCAAATAATAATGCTCAAGTCGTTTTTTATTCAAGTAGTGTGACCATCTGCAGAAAAAATGACGTTCAATAATTTGCTCGACTTCTCAGGTATCATCGTATTCATTTCGCGCATAACAAAATCCGGGCCAAGTTTAAGTTTATTTCATGAATTCAACCGCTTAGAATTTCTTGGATTGAAACGGTTACAAATACAAGAGTAGTGCGTCAAACACAAGGCAGTGTTTATTATCATCAACTTAATGATATAAATTGTAATGTTATTTTGACTACATTCTGTTCATAAAATTTTCTGAAATTTGTTATAAAATATTATTCGGGTTTTAGCCACCTGTCGTAAGAATTTCTTAAAATGCTCGATAATTTCTTCAGATGCGAAATGCTTGCTTTTCCGTTTACAGATGATTCATTTGTAAATTTGATCTGAAACGTCAAATCGCATTGATCTAATTTTCTGATTTCCCCACAGTTTGTTCCGGACCTTTAACATTATTGAAACAATTTACAATAAATAATAAGAAACTAAGAGTGTAATGAAAAAGGTAGCAAAACAACACAGAAATATAAGCACACCAATGGGCTCATTTTATGGTCCATTCATAAACTGGCCGTGCGTTGGTATTAACGGAATGAATCAGACGTCCAAGCGGTGGTACGGCATGAGCAGCAAAATCGGGTACTTCCTAAGTGTGTGAACCAAGATGGCGGACAGGGGAACGTAGTATGTGTATCAGGTTAGGCTTAGGCCATAATTTTAAGTACATATAATACGAGAGCCACTTGACAATTCCCAGAACTCGTAATAAAACTATCATAAGGAAAATTGGAATAAAATTATGGCCTACTCCTAACCTGGTAAACATATTACGTTCCGGTGTCCGCCATCTTGGTTCACATACTTCGGGAGCACCTAAATCGTAGGTAAATCAACGGACTAGGGCCGTGTATGGGAATCAAGGAGAATTCATTATTAAATACCAGCTATTGAAAGGGAAATAGACTCGGTTGTTAAACACACGGAATTTTAGTTACAACAGCATGAACAAAATAAAATAAACCGATGATATTAAAAAATCTAACATTACTACTGCACTCCAGTCAGCAAATAGCATGCAACCAGCGTCGACAAGATCAACGTACGCAGACGCTAGCAGCTTGATAGCAGTCAGTAATTCTACAAAATTTGCTATATCTCGTTGACCGCTTTCTTCTTCGCCAGCAATCAGAGTTAACTTTGAATGCAGATCGGTTAACTCTTTTAATGTATAAGGTCCTTTTGCTGAAACAAAACATAGCGAATTCTTGAACCCAATTTTGCCGGGAGAGCATTCAACTGCTTATAGAAATATGTGGTGAGTAAGATTTAATATCTCTTATGTATACATTTTATCGTGGACTAAGTCAAAAGACTGAGTCAGCACAAAATAAATAATAAACTTTTGCGTCGTTTTCAAGCATGATATATGCTTGTCCGAGTTTTATGAACCCTGGTTGTGCGTCACTCCCTTTTTGGCATATTTTCAATTCTACAAGTTTTATATCTGTAAGTATTTGAAATCTAAGATATGCACATAGGAATTTGTTATTACTTGAAAGAAAGCTATTTGAGCAGGCCAGTAATCGTTTTAGCTCGTAAACAAGGTAATAATCACAATAATAAAGAAACAATCAGCGTCCTCGCTGAGAATTTCTCGCTATGAACCCGCTCTTTTGTTTCTTGAATAATTAGCGTTCGACGCCGTCTGAAGTGGCATGTTTGGATTTGTCTGAAAGCTTACGTAATTGCCTAATTCGACAGACTTTGTTGTCGAGTCGGTTTCGCTTGAATTGATCACACCGATGAACAATACAAAACCTTTTTCAAAAAAAAAAATAAAAAATTTCTCTCATTTACAACGCGCACGGTTAAGCGAATATCGCACGCATCAAAAGACACAACGAAAGACAGCGGCGAAATACCGCTTTCCGATGAAATTAAACTGAAGGTTCTCGCACGTTTGAACAAAAAGTTATGACATTTTTCAGGGGGAGTATACAAAATTCTCCAGTCAGAAAAGCTAGATTGGGTTCTACAAATATTCATAACAATTGCGGATCTTCTAGCGAGACAAAAACATAGGATTCATATGGACATTTGGGCAAATCGTGAAGACGAATTATGATCTCTCACAAATATTCATATTTAATTACCTCTGCTACCTTCAGTCATAGAGATGCTTAACGTAATCGAGTTTTCCTTCGTCACATGTTCATTGCCTGGTGGTTTCCCGATTGTGTAAACTCCTCTTCCATTGATTTCTTGCGCCAGTGAAAGAGACATTTTTTCTTCAGATCCAAATATTTGTTCAATCTCTTTGAACCAAGCTAAATTCTCTCCGGTAGTAGTCTTAAAATTAGGAACTTATAACGTGGACTATTTCCTCCGTCTATTTATAAATTATTAATCAAAAATCAAACTCAAGAACACCTACCCATTTTTCGACGAGATCTTCATCTTCCTCAACATTTTTCCAAACTTTGTAAAATCGTTCAAGAAGATCGGAAAGTCCTTTTATTTCATTCAACTTACAAATCAGTGGCGAAAATCCTTCCATTGACGTTGTTAAACACTCAACTTTGTCCATTTCCAGAGCTCGCTCGAATTCCGATGTTAACGCTAATTGCCCAAGCGTTTTAATTTCTTCGATATCTGAATTTACATATTATAAAATTTGTTTATCTTCACTAGTAAATTTTAAACGGGAAATGCGTTAACAACAAGTAACTAAAACAATTTTAATAGTATCTTACAATAGTACGCTTTCCTCGCTGAATTTCTTACCTTTCATAGAATGAAGCCACTTGACTAACTCATGCTGCTGTATAAATTTTTCCAGCGTTTGCAGATTTTCAGCTGACATTCGTATCAAGTCATCCGGAAAGTTTTTCAGGAAATCATCAGTTATGTCATTGAGAGTCAAATCCGTTCCTCCAAGGTTCTAAAGAATAGAAAAGCGTTTCGTAAAAAAAAATTAAAAAGTTTTTATTGGTCGAAGATTTACATAAAATTTTTGTACCGCATTTCCTAAATTTTTAATGAATAAGCAGAAAACTTCGTATAAGAAATAACCCTGATTGATTTATGCGACTTAATCGAACAACTTAAAACCTTCAGTTTAAAAACTTTAAAAGATAAACTAAGAAAAACATTTTTTAAGGTAAACAATTACCTTCAATTTTTCAATTGACTCAAAAGTGCCTTGCAGGTCGAAAGTTTCCTTAAATGTACAGATCCACCGTATTACATTGATTGCCTTATTAATTTCAAAAACTGAGTGAATTTGACAAGATTTCTTTTTATCCTCATCATAAGTAGTCCCTGCGAGTGAATCCACGAATTCGCCTGTAAAGCCCAAAAGAAAGTTATGATAACAGAAAACTAAAACATCCTATCGATTCCATTTTCAACATTAAAATAATTTGGGAAAATGCAAGTCAGAACTTGAATGAAACTAACTCAATCGCTTGCCATTATTAACTATCATCTCATTAAACACTGAAGAAACAGTAACGTATGTACCCTCGGGTTTTGCTTTACAGAAAAAGCGAAACAAATGCTGTAATTCCTCATGTATTTTTGATTTAGATCCTTTGGTACATTGAAATTTTTCTAGGAGAACATCAAGCTTTACGGAACCTAACAAAAAAGATTAAACAAAGTTAATACAAGCAATATATAATCAAAAAAGTATTATCGTGACATATATCTTGAAATACCATAAGCTGTATCTTTAAAAAGCTGAATTGTATCTTCTTTTGCTGGTATCCACACACATTTTAAAACATCTTTCCAATCCATCTGTTTGAGAGACTTTATTCTTTCTTGATCAAATCCAACTTCTTGCTTAGTACGCTCGAACCACATTTTGCGAAATATGTCGCTTTGCTTAAAATAATATATTTGTTTTTGACTAGTAAAGCATGACAAATATGGCCATCGTTCTAGCAACAAAATAAAATATCTTTAGAAAATTTTCCCAAAATTTCCAACGTGTAAAAATTGAAATATTTCAAAAAAATCTAGAAGAATAAAGTTGTACTTACTCGCAATAAATGCATTTGATGAAAATCATCAATATCCTGTTTTGTTAATCCAAAGTATTTCTTATTCAGCCCTTCAATTGGAAGATCGTCTTTTGTTATTAAACCACCAATTGTTTCTGATTGAGAAGCCTTTATGTACATGGTTTCAATCGGAGCGCATCTGACTTTCAAGCCTTGGTATATTTAATTTTGTTTATATTTAAATATTGTTATGCTACTGTTAGTACTGGATTGCCGTAGTTACACTGGACTAAAACTAAAATATAATGTGAATAGAAAAATAAAGTGGGGAAGTTGAACTAAGTTATGTCTGATTTTGAAGTGATATACAAATTTATATCCACTTTATTGATGCCAAATGGTGAAAAATTCTTGTTGAATGTATCATTATTAATACTGTAAAAAAATGATACCTTCGCAGACTTCCTTACAAAATTGGAAAAAGGTTTTGGCAAAACCATATTGTTCATCAAAATCTCTTTGTTTTTTGCTGAGATAGTGAATGTGTTCTCTCAAGTTGTCCACGGATGATGTGGAAGATTTCTCAATAAATAAAAGCTACGTATTATTTACTCAAAATCTACGAATATATATATCTATTCTGAAAACTAAATCAAAATTTAATATTTTATTTTAAAATTTTGGTACATATATCGAGTATACTTTAGACCAGGGCTTCCCAAACTGTGGTCCACGGACGCCCGGGGGTCCGTGACAACTGCACAGGGGAGGGGGTCCGCAACGATATGAAAAAAGTCTGATCGATAATTAATGATTGATTTTAATCAAAGAGCGATGGCATATTTTTGGTTGAGCGTTGCGGACGAATATTCATTGCTGTCGGAAAAGGCAATTAAAATATTGTCTCTTGCAACGACCTACATGCGTGTGGCAGCATTTTCGCCTCTTATCAATATGATGACAAAATACAGGTCGAGACTTGTCGTCCGATCTATGAGTTTGCTTTTCACAAATTGCTCCAAGAATCGAAAAATGGTGCATTGAAAAGCAAAAGACTAATTCATCACATCAATGTCGTTTGTGTTGTCGTGTTGTAAATGAAACATTATTTTTCCTCGTTGGTTAGGCACAGAAATTGATACGGCATAGCACGGGAGTTCGTCAAAATTGAGATTCTCAAAGAGGGGTCCGCGGCCCAAAAAGTTTGGGAAACTCTGCTTTAGACGTTCCAAATCTATTCTAAGTAGTTTTGAATCTATGTACTTCCTGATGTCAAAGGAACTGTTCGAAAAAAAGGTATGTACTTCCTCCGTAGTTCCAATTAATAATATGTACGCATTTAAAACCAAACAAAAATTTTAAAAGCAAAATACACAATGCATTTTTACGCATTTCCATTTAGAACTTTTAGAAAATAATGTGAAATACTTTTTGAAGAATTCCAACAAAGTTGCAAATAGTCGCAGTTTTGTCCTTTACAAATTCAAAATTATTCTTTTTGATTTTTCCGCTGTATATTTGTTCAACTATCTTTTTTATGTCAGCAGTGATCAATTGCATTGTTTCGTTTGTTTTTTGGCCAAAGTATTTGTCGTGTTCTGCTTCATCTGTAACATTAGGAAATATATATATTACACCCATTTACGTTTTGTGGAATGAGTACAGACGCAAAACAAACGTCAGATATTACAAATCTTGGCGCTCCAGAAATATGTGAAACAGGATGGCGGACACCGGGACGTAGTATGAGTACCAGGTTAAGGTTAGGCTATAATTTTATTCCAATTTGCTTCATTTTAGTTCTATTACTATCCAATTGACTACCGTAGTAATTGTACTTGAAATTATGGCCTAACCCTAAACTGGGACACATATTACGTTCCGGTGTCCGCCATCTTGGTTCACATACTACAAGACTACTGCACATCTTTTATTAGAAAAAAACTTACAGAAATTTGAAAAAAGCCAATTGGCCATCTGCCATTTACAAATGAAGTTGAGATTTCCAAACGGGTATTGGGATTCTTTGCTCTCGCACATTTCTTTATATTTACGTAAGAAACATTTTTCGACAAATTTAATGGTTGAAAGGTTTTTGTTCCCGAAAAAATGAGCTATACACGAAGATCCAGATGTCTGTAAATATAACGAAAAATCCAAAACCTTTAAATATTATAAAATGCTCAAATTTCAAACCAGACTAAAACCATAATAATTCTCAAACGTAAAATTACATCTAAAACAAAATAGGACTCCAAATATTTTGTGTTTGTCGTACTATAAAATATCGTCTACATTTTTCTGAATAACTGTGTGATATTTTTCACTCTAATTGCATTTCAGACTCATGCATTACGTTAAGATACCATACTTCAAAATCCATGTTCTTACAATATCTAATTATTAATTTAAGGTTATATTGGAAAGTATTGAATAACACCAATAATAAATTGTATAGTTACACTATACCTCAAGTTCTTTTTCAATAAGTTCCATTGCCTTTTGCCCAAAGCAATCTTGCAAACTCTCTTGTGTTATTAAAGGATTTATATTTTCCAAATACAATTTGACGGAAAATATTTTTTCTTTTTTATGCAAATCCTGCAACAGGTAAACTTTAAGTATGGACAAAATATACAATTTTGCAAAAAAAAAAATTTTAATCTGTATTTAAAAGCAACTATGTGAGTCTATCATACTGCACTAGGTGGTATTATATTCAATTTGCATAGCATGGTTTGGCGAGATGTATTTCTGATTCATGTATTTCTGTTTTCCATAAAAAGCGAATCATAGGCAAATTTCACTACAGCATGCCATAAAATTAACTTCCAAAGATTGCGATTGTTCATATTAAATCGAAAAATCGTTCTATATTTAGCTTTTATTGGCAAAAAATCCCTCGCTTAGAGAGAGTGAGCTGGTACACACTACATATATATGAATAACGTTATATTTTTGTGGCACGTCTTAAAATACTGTTCTCATCACCGATGAAATAAGTGTTAGAGATGTGTCACCTCTTTTTCCAGTTTTTCAGTCAAAGCTCTTGTCATCGCGTTGTTCCAGTAATCTTGTAGCGGTTCCACCCATTCGTATGTCCAAAGTTGGTCTAGGAACTGTATAAATATCACAATTGGTATGAACATTCTGTTAGAACTGTCTAAGATTAGAATTTCATTTTTTATATGTTGAAATTATTGCACTATTAATGTGCATGTACTTAATCGGGTAACATTTGAACATGCAATCATTGCCTTATACAAAACTTACATTTTCAATTCGATCGTATACTTTTTTACTGAGTATGAGTTAAAACTCACATATACTATAACTAAGCTTTGCATGAACGGCAAACTTCCAAGCCTTTTAGTTAGTTGCTCCAGTTTATTTACTTAATATTAATCTCAGAATATTTCAATATATAAAAATGTAACATTCCAATTCCAATACTATGTATATAAGAGGTATTTTAATGTTAGGTTTATTTACAAATTTTTTGTTTATCCTGGACTGATTTTATACAATGATTAAAAACTGTTAAAATTTAATATAAACTCGCCTTGACATTTTCATCCGTTAATTCCATAGAAAGAATTATGACCGCAATTTCATTGCAAATGTTACAAAAGCTTCCTTTTTCTGATAGTAAAGTCTGCAAAAATATTACACATGGTGCTACATCTAGAAAATTAATAGCAAATAAAAGAACGTGTGGCGTATTTTATTTTATCTTGATGTAGAGTAGAAGAGATTAACTGAACCACACTCAACTGTGCCCAGGCAAGGCAAGATGTTTGACCTGCGCAGGAATAATTTTTTGCATTACTCCACAGGTTACAATACAACTTCAGGTTTAAGTTCAAGGTAATAAGAAACATATCCCTGGGAGGGAACACGCAAGTGCCGCACCGTTCTGTACCACCAGAATTACATTAGACGTTGAACGTTTGGGGTCAGGACGATGGCGTAAGAGCACGTAAACCTTTTTTGCCCTGATATCCAGACGACCGCCTGTAAACAATTTCAACTACAGTTCACTAGAGTAAACTGCTAAAATGACATTTAATTTTTTTTTACCTTCCTTGCTTGCTTAGTTAGCATTGCGCTTGCATGATGAACAATTTCAATGAACCATATGGAAGCACGTTGAGGGTTGACTCCAACTTTCAGAACATGAGTCATGGAAGTTGCAGTACGATCAAACACATCCAGCGCAAACTTATTTTCTTTCTTAGTCTGTTTTTTTGAGGGACTGTTTAGAAGTATAAAAAAAAATTTAAATTTATAAACGGATTTGAAATTTGAGACAATTTAAACTGAATACCGAAGTACCGACATCAAACGGCAGTGGTAAAGTGGTATACAATAAATTTTATTGTATTTGAGGCACGCAATCCCTGTACAAAAATTACGAAACCAATGTTAACATAATAACAGACCTGTCAGTATAGCTTCTTGCGTATTGGAACTGGTCTCCGATGTAATCTTGAATGTCTTCCAAGATTTGTAAGTAACTCTACAAAAGAAATATTATGTTGGAGTTAATGTTTAATCTATTAACGATTTTATTTCAGAGCAAAAAGCAAATCTCACATTAATGTCTTCATGCGTTGTTCGATTGCATCCTTCGAGGAGAATTGTTAATAAATTTCCAAGCTCGAATTTTTTTGCAATTTCTTTATTGCATTTTGTAACTTTTATAATTGACTCGTAGTCAAGTAATATCTGATACGTGTCGATCAGCCAAAGATGTTGTGAACTTAATTTGTTTATCTTATCAGCCAGTTCTATAAAATGCCTGTAAACAATATTAAATTTCTCATTACTCTAAACGACTCTCCACGACCTTAATCTTACAGTTGAACAACTTTAAGGCTACAGTTTTGATTGCATACTCGCACTGTTCTCTCTAACCCAATACTTAAAACGGTTTCTACTATTGAAGATACGTTAACGAATTAGCAATGTTTTGCAATTGCGAGAAAAACAAATTGATACCTATTTGGTGACAGCGTAGGAACACGAAATCAACTAAATTGTATGTCAAAAAAGGCAGACGAGTAGTTGACTTACTATTGGAGTCGGAATGAAACGAAAGAAATAAGAAATTATGTAACAAAAGATATCTAAAGGGCATTATAGGGAATGAAGTAAATACAAAATCAGATTTTTATATTACAATTCGAATCATTTCCGGTGCAAAATTCGACCTTGCAGAGTGTTGAGCATTGAGTGTTGTTCATGGGGAATTTTACAATTCGCAAGTGGAGAAACCAATAACAATATCGCCTTTTTGAAAAGTTGGTGAAAATAGTTGAATAACAAGCACGGACTATTGAATGATGTCATATAGATTGTGCTGTTGTGCACGTGTTTAAAGGGCGAGAAAAAAATTAAGATTGGTTTTATGATGAGCCAATGTGTTCAGCTTCTTCCACTGATTAACGAACGCACAGGGTTATCTTTGTATTCAATAAGCCGACCAGTGTCCTCAATAGGGTATAATGGTGGCATCGGTGGCGTGATATTGTCTTTATTTGTTATAATTTCGGAAACAAAACCTAATATATAATACCTCTAAATCGTTAATTTCGCTTCAATAAAGTTATTGGTATACTGCACTTACTGTTGATATTCCTTTCCTGTATATAAGTCAAGCTTGTCAGCAAACGGAAGTCGATTATCAATTTCTCTCACTGGAGACTTTATAGAGCTTGCTTCAACTGTTATTGATTTCTTTTCAATAAGGTCCAGTAATGGTAGAGCAAGCAGCCAGTTTTTTACAGGTTGTTGTGCAGCGACATTGAACAGATTCTTTAACTGTGCTGCCACTAGATTTCTAAGCATAACATATATATATATATATATTATATTGCGGCATAAAATATTCTACAAACAATAACTAATTTGCTACCAACCTTTCCTGGGCATGTGTATATGCAGAAAAAATATCACTTTGTATCCTGTTCTGCTGTTCTTTATTCATATCTTCGAGCGATAGATGAAGAAACACGATATCCAGAGAACGTTGAACTTTGAGATTATTTTCTTCAAATACGACAAGCAGCAACAAGATAGTTATAATTTTGGTCTCGCTGCAAACTTTCCTATCACATTCAGTCAACCACTCGATTAAACAATCTTCTGCCTGTCGCAATGTAAAATATATTGTTTTTAAATTAACAAAATCTTTAAACCCAAATTCAAAACATTTAACGGTACGTGTCAAATGCTGAGATGAGGATTGTGGATACTTCTTTCAGACTGACTATGAAATGCCAAATAATATACTCGTTTCGAAAAATTTCAAAAGTCTAAAAACCATAATAAAATCTATATATGCTGTTGTTCATAATAAAATTTCGTGAAAACCGTAGCGGTTCTATAACAAACATTTCCCCGGGTACATTTTTGCAAATCGGGGTCATTGAAATTATTCTTTAAAATTTAAATTTAATATGCAATGATAAAATATCTTATGATGAAGCCAAGTTTTTGGTAAAACATACATTTTTAACAAGGTTTGCATTTTATACTAGAAGTACTACCGTAAATACGTTGACCTTTTATGTGAATTTAATGTTTAAACTTGGTATTGAATATTTGACAACAGCTAGTGCAGATATATATAAATATGCAGATTTTTAGGCTTTTTCGACAAAAGTTTCCAGTCAATTGATTTAAAAGAAAATTTGTGATTTCTTTTTTTTCTGTGTGAAGTCTACGATTCTGTCGAGGGTTCTTACATTGAGACATTTATTACTTCTTTGCTATTTCATTGGATATGCAGATATTTCGGAGACGTATCGGCTCACATAAGTTCGATCGAGTGCGTGAATATTGGATCACCCATGCAAGAATTTCTACAAAACGCACGGAGCTTGAATGAACTGGCAGTTTCGGTAACCCGTTCACTAAATTCTTAGCAATTTTATTTCTTGGAACATCAAAATAATTTAATTCATGTGAAAATACCGAGAAATTATTATGTTTTTTGAGAAAGCTATTTTAATAATGTTTAATTACTAAAAACCGAAAATGCTATGAACGTGAATATGACGTGATATCCTTGTTTTGGGAATTCAATATATTGATATACGTAGTTGAAACCTATAAATTCGGATTTTTATTAAATGTCATAAAGTGTTTCAATTGAGCGTTCTCTGCTTTCGGCTGTTATCGCCAGATTGACAAACTTGAAACAGAACCCTTGTCGGTCGAAACTCGTTCCAAGTCCATCAAATCAGACCAACCAATCAACAATTAATGTGTAGTGAGATCTAATCTTTACAAATCAAGCTGCTGTTATAGATCCCTAAGTTTCTAGGAATGGTAAAAAGTGGCCTGGGTGGCCTCAACTATCAGCGGAAATCGAGGGCGCTTACCGGCCTGTATATTTAACAACGGTGAGCAATGTAACAAAAGAGGCTCGATCATGAGGTAAAATAATATTAAATCTCCGGATTAGTAGACCTTTATTCCCAATCGTTCTATTTGCTTTTCGCCATAAGTCCGAATTCACCGTTGCTATGGCAGCAGCAAAAAATACGCGCCGTTCGTTACAAATTTTCCAGTTTAGTCTAATTTTTTCCTTATTTCCTGTCTGCTAAGTCGAATATTAATAATCCAAGAATGCCACCCTCGGAAAAGGAAAATACTATTTCAAGCAAGACGGTATTCATCTTGATGATGATGATGGTGAAGGGATTTTAGAAAAAATGTTTTAGTTATGAGCTACATCCTCTCTTTCGCGTAAGGATAACGACGAGACGCACAGCGCCTAAATGAAATTGCATTTTCACTATTTCACAATTTTTCTCGGTTCGATGACATCCCTCTATCCTTTGAGTAACCCTGGAAGAACGCGGGCCTCAACCATCGGCGGAGATCAATACTGGTCGCCTATTGACTTATTACAATATTGATTTGAACATGATCAAATTATAAGATTTTATGGCCGTAAAAATTATCTGATACATACTTTTATACGGATTGACTTATATGTATGCACCTATTAACTTTCAAAGATTTGTTGTTTTTTGGGGTTGGAATTTTCAAGTCCACCTACCATTTCGGTAACTATAATAACAAAATATTCTGACAAAATAATTATAGAAAAAAAGGAAAAATTCACTTTCATGGATGGAATATTCAATCACGGCGATCGAGCCTCGTCTTCTGTCGCGTTGATGCGCACTGCGCACCTGATCTTGCGTGGGCCGAAACATCTGTAAGGCTTTTATTGTATATGCTCTGTATTGTATAGATAGACATTTTATCGGTTGTATTATTTTTCACTTTATATTGCCTACTACTCCAGTAGTTAATTTTGCACTTTGGTCAAAAGTTTATGACTTACCTTAACAGAAAGCGGTATTCTTTGGTAACCTTCGTTACACCCAATTTTCCAGCCGCGTTTTATTTGTGAAACCCAAGCTTGTAGTAGCATGGTTACTTGTTCTTTTGTTGAAGAGCTCATATCAGATATAGCGCAAAGATACTTGTACATCTGCTTTGACCATTCACTCTGATGATTTTCATTCTTGTAAGGAAACATCGATATAACGTCGAAAAAAATATTCTCCTTTTCTGTATATAAATAAATTTTATTGGAAACTACACAAACGATGTACAATGAAAAATAAACACCCATTTGCATGATTGCTGATAATTGAAGAATACTTTTCTTTCTTCCCTTTTGTAATGATGCATTTACGTAAATGTGAACTCAACACTTCACTCGACAATTTTACGACGTGAAGCTCAAATTATTACCGAAAGGAATGTATTTATTTTCTATAAAATTAGACGCAACCGCCGTTAACAAGCCAATTTGCGTCATTACTACGAAACTGACGAACCAGCTTCCCCTTTTTATTTTTGCATACGAGTTGACACTCAGCGCTTTTGAAGTATGAGTACCAATATGAGTAACTAATTTCGTTCGCCTATTTTACATCAAGTTTTGTAAAGGGACTGAAACCTATGGCCAGGGTGATATTCACTTGGCTAACACAGACAGTCCCCAAACTCGTAATAGAACTAAAACTAGGAAAATCGGAATGAAATTATGGCCTAACCCTAACCTGGTACACATACTTTGGGAGTACCCGCCTAAGTATCATATGCTATAACATTCACATTTTTCTTTTATGTTACATATTACAGAGCCAAGGATGGAAGAAATCAGTAAAAAAAATTCTGCGCTGATACCATTTCATGGTTTTATTTTTAGGTTATAAACCAGTTATTGCATATTTGAGTTTCAAGCTATCTTTGCCCATGTTTTTGTAGGTATGATTCGCACATCTTCAAATCTACGTTATCTATAAAACTGGCATTTTCGACGATCCTGAAGTCTTCATGAGATGTGCCCTACTGTAGACATTTAACTGTAAAAACCTGATAATAGTGCTTAGAGTTGGACCATACATGAATCATACATGATTTGGTTATGTATTAGACCATCCTGATCTATAGGGTATATTTCTAAACATAAAATAGCATATCGCATTCATTCTTAATTGAAAGCAAAACCATTCACAGAAAATATAGAAACACTTCCGAAAAAGCATTATGTTTTACCAACCTGGTTCAAATTTTACAACTCGGTGATCTCCTGGCAATAATTCTCTATATGTGGTCCCATTTTCTTCGTATTCATATGAGTAATGAAATTTTTGACTCCACGATTCTATCCTTACCGAGAAACAATTCTTCTCTCTAAATATGTCAATGTGTTTAAGTTACTGAGAAACAAACCATTGACCCATTGTTTCGTTAAATACTTCGCAAACAGGATCATTCAACGCCAATTTCAAACTCAAATATCTTAGTTACTTATTATTACAGTCTAATTTGTACACAGTAAAATAATTAGTCTTTTAACTAGCAGGCATAAGTTTGGTAAACTATTCAAAAGACTCCCCTGATATTTTCATTGTAATGTGATTCAATTTTCCGGTAAAAATTGAGTTTCTATCTGTTCGAATGTAGAAAATTTGTCGACACATTGACATATTGAAGATGTGCGCCGTAAATTCTTTTTTTTTATCATTTATTATTCCCAATACAGTACTTTTAAGTGCCGAATACATACAGTACTAATTACATGTTATGCAAAGACAGCATTAAACTTAAACATGGATCTTCGCCCTGTTTAATCCGACCTATGTGATTAACAATCATTTAGCACACAAGATTAATCAATGACTCTACTGCAAGAAATATCACGATAAAATGCTACTGTAAAAGGATGATCTTCTATTACGCTAATGTCAAAATCTTCAATTTTTTTATCCATAATCGACCCTTCAAATAATAAATTGACCTTATGTGACAGTTACAGATAAATACGTTAAAGAAAGCGTTTTTGATTGGGAATACTGTTTGTATCGATTGTCCTATTGTTCATATTCACCAACCAAAATTTACAAGTTTTAACAGATAAAATATAGAAATACAGACTTACTCTGGCAACTCCTGCATTTCAAACTTTTCCAAATTTCCGTTGGTATTAAAACATATATTCATTTCGTCTATATCCATTAGACAAGTTACATAAAATGTTACCGTATCTGAAAATCAAACATATTGCATATTGCATCAGCCAACCACATAAGTGTATAAATCCAAGGTAATTTCGGCCTCGAAGAAATAAAGCTGCGGTCTTTGGCGCGGTTATAGATTTCAAATAATTTAATAATTTATTTAAACTAATTGAAACCGTATAAATGCTTTTGTATGAGCTTTCAGTCATCTCATGATTTTCTTATGATGATGATCCTTATTTAAAATCCCAGTATCTTCAAATTTGAACGATTTTAGGAAACATGTCATTTTTTCTTAATGTTATACTGAAACAATTTTGAACAGTATATAAAGAGAGCAGAGCCCATTGAATAGGAAAGCAGTGTATTCAACTATATTTTGAATTAGCCTTCAAATAACTTGCTAATGACCCTTGTTGTGAATATGGGCTGAAAGTCAAATACCCATATACAAAGTCCAAAGTTAACGCAAAAGAGCTTTGACTTTGCATATGCATTCATTTCTTTATAATATACCGGTACATTCATTCAAGTAATATACATACACAACATATATATATTTATCGCAAAATAAAAATACATTCATCTGGGTGATGCATATGCAGTCAACTGGATAAACATATGCAATTATTTAAGACTTAAGTGATGTTCTTACAAAAGCCAACTCCAACCCCATATGCTTATACAGCCAATACCATATGCATATAAAACCAATGCTATATTCATATACAGCCAATGGTATATTCATATACAGCCACTGTCATATGCATATACAGTCAAAATACTAAAAAAAATTATATTATTTATTTGCATATACAGCTGATTAAACATAATATACAGCCAATTAATTGATGTGAACATAGATCGAATGTCATATGAGTATATAGTCAGCCCAATATTAGTGTGCAGGCAATTGAGTGATATGCATATAGTGAAATACAAAAGTCAACGTCATATTCATATACAGCTAACTCATATACATATATGAACTAACCCAATTTGAATATACAGACAATACCATACGCATATACATTCAATTCAATATAATAGATTAATATACTTAAAGAGCAAATGTCATAGAGATACAGATGCTATGTTATATGCATATACAGCCAACATATACATTGCTAAAAAGTTACGCAAAATATATTATCTAAAAGTTAAAAAAGCAACACAAAATTTTTATTTTTTTATTTTTCTAGAAATCACATTGAACCGATTTTAAATACGAGTTACGTTATTCGTTCACGTGTTTCGTCTTTCTTTTCCTAGCAATAATAAGCGAGGGAGAGAGAGAAAGAGAGCACGTCGCAGTCGTCAGATGTGATTGCCGAGTTGGTATGGCGTTGGGATTGGACGGGAAATTCCCGAGCAGGTTCGAACCCTGCTGCAGCACTTCATCAGCAACAGACGCGCTTGATTCAAATTTACGAATGAGTCACATTACTGCAGAAGCATGAGTTCATCTGCTTTCCCCGAGGCTTCTAATGCATTATGGGTAGTAATTTCTCACTAAATCTTTACCTTGATATGCACAACTGGAAAACTTCACGCACGAAGATAATGAATGTGTGCTTGCAAAGGGAATTGAACGCGTATGATAACTATGGTAATCAGGCGAGAGAAAAGGATTCCAAAACCGAGTGTGTTGAAAGTATGATGAATTAGATTTCCCAGTTAATAGTTTAATGTGAATAGCTATCTGTGACGTGATTTGTTTCAATGGCAAAAACATTTGCATTACTTTTTTACCTTCTAAAAATTAAATTTTGTGTTATTTTTTTAAAACTCTGAATATATATATAATCTCCTGGAGTATACGCAGCAAGATGGCGCACTACCTGAACTCAGGTTGTGTACCAGGTTAGGGCACACCCCTGGAGCACCAGGGTATTCCTGAAGTATGCGCACCAAGATGTCGTACAACCTGAATCCTAACCGGTACACACACACACATATCATTTTCAGGTTGTGCGCCATCTTGGTGCGCATACTTCTGGAGGTCCACATGAGTTCAGGTTGTGCGATATCCTGGTGGGACACTTCAGGAGGTCCTATATATATATATATACACGCCAACATACTTGGATACCTCTTTGTATATATATGAATGCTTATTATATGGAATTGGTTGTATGTGCCTATGGCATTGGTTGCGTATGTATATCACCCAAAGTTGGCTGTAAATGTACATTTATTTCTGTATTTGCATATTGCGCTACCAACCCCACTCGGCATGTTGATGATGACATATTTTTTTTTTATAACCAATGCAATGAAATATCAATAAAAAGTATAGTTACATTTGTTGCTTGTATTTTCTGGTTCTGATCTTTTTTCACTTAATTTTTGATAAAGTTTTTCTGTAAACAAATTTAAGATAACACAATAAAATTATTCAATAGACAATGCTAGTATTAATGTTCTATAATATATAAACAAAATATGCGGCTACATTGATGCATTACAGGCTAACGAATCTGTTAACGATAGTGATCATTGAACGTCTAATCCTTTATGCAAAGAATTATATGCAAACGAATTTTCACGACTCATGTTTTTACCTTTTTTCACAGGTGCTTGAACTTTTGGTGACTCTTCATTTCTTTTCGTGTTATTTTCTATAAAATAATTGTGTATATTAAAATATTATTGCATGGTAATTGTATAAAATGCAATAATGGCACAGTATACTCTGTATTAAATATTTATTAGGTTCACTAGATGGTTTATATATTATAGTCTCACAGTTTCCATAAATCCCAACAAAATTTCGAATTATTCATATTTTTTTCATAATCTCAAATAGGTATTTAAAGATAAAAACTAGAAATACTTCAAGTGTCATATGATTTGAAAGGCAAGACAGTAACATTTGTGCCGGTCGGTGATATTTCCCCGTTTTAGTTACATTTGAATAGATAGTTGATCTTTCAGCCTTATTTCTATGAGTATCTGCATGTTAAGCCAAGGGTTAACAACCGCTAGTCCGCTATCCGGTTTTTCCGTCGGTCCGTGTGAAATTTGTTGCTTTGTTATTTTGCTCCCCGCTTGGTTACGCTACCCGCTTAATAACGAAAAATGCGAAGCTACGATAATTTGTTTTTCGATTTGTCTTTCGTCGTTATTAAAGGCGTTCAGCAAGTAGGATATTGATTGCCAGACGGGTAAACACACATTTCAGGTCCGATAGTTGAGCAAGCGTCTTGTTAATTATCAAAAATGTGTAAAACCTGCATGAATGATTTTAAATCCGCGTTACCTCCACAGGCTGCATTGAAGAAAATGTGAAGTGGTTTGTGTAACGTGATGCCGATGAAGCTTAAATAAATGTATACCTGTAGCTACAACGGATTTGCCACTTCTACTTTGTGATCGGGATTTTTTAGGGCTGTGACCTTTTTTCTTGCCATCTGCAAAAAGAATATGCCTTTTACATTGTACTTTTATAGTTGTGAATATTTCAGAAATATATAGAAATACCTGTAAATTATTTTTAAAATTTTACAATTTATTTTCTTTAGTGCTTTCTTTATTTATTCTCTTTATTTTCTAACAACATTCCAACACTGGCTACTAGTTTCACTTTCACAATGTTTAACGCGTTTTAACACATGTTGGCGTTTGTATTTATCGGAAGCTCAACTTTTATATTCAGCCTATTTTTAATACCAGGGAAATTAATATTCAAGAAATTGAAATTCATAAACCATTTCTTTGAAAAGGGCATCTGGTATAGATTAAATCAAGAAAATTGTATACTGACACATGCTCCAGCAAGTTTTATCGATTTGAAATTTTCTAAAGTGGTGTGCTGCAATTTGATAACATGAAACATTTGATAAATGTTTATATACAAAGAAGTTGAAGAATATACCAATAAGCAAACTACGCAATATGAAATGAATTCAACAGCAGCTGACATCTGACAGACTGTGCGAATACGAACAGAATATATCAATGAAAAACTGTCAATAAAAACTGTTAACGCCGTAAAGATGAGGAAGCCTAACAAAAATATGTATGTATGTGTATACCTGAAGCTTCCACGGATTGGCGTGTTCTTCTTCTTGATGGAGAATGTGTATTTTCATGGCTGTATTCATCTTCATTGTCATCTGCAAATTAAAGTAATACGTTTTACGTCAATTGGCGTAAATTTACAAAAATTCCCCTACAGTATAATTTATTTTTAATTTTTTTTTAATTTTGAAGTTTCATCAAATTTTTTATGTTTTATTGTTTATTGTAAATTTGAATGCGCTTCATTTTTAACAGACTTTCGTGATGGCTGCTTGTCTCATCATTTTTATCAATTTGCTTTCTTCTCTCGAGCTTCCCTCGAGTGGGTAGGATTCAAACTTGTTTACTTGATAGTTGATAGCGTCACAAAGGTCAATTTCAACAAAACAACGCGAATTGTTTTATCTTAATCTTTGTTAGAACAAAGTTACAAGAATTAACTCCAGGTAAATCTCACGTGGTTGAGGGTTGGTAATAAAACACAGTTTTTATGGATGATTTTATGGAGATATATTTATCCGGATCAATAGTTGGAAATGAAAATTGGGAAAATTTGGACAGTTGAGTACGTTAAACTGATTTCATAAACTAAAGTAGTAATGTGGAGAGGCTGGGAAAGCGTAACAAAAATATGTATACCTGAAGCGCTCACTAATTTGCGTCTTGTACCCGTCGATTGGCATTCTAGCGTTTCGTGGCTGTATTCATTTTGATTGTCATCTGCAAATAAAACATGCGTTTTAAATTTGCCAATAATTCATAGAATGTATATAAAAACTGCCTTTTTAAATTTTTTATCATGATTTATAAAATTCATTTTTTCACTTTGTTACATGCAGTATAAAATTTAATATGTCAATTCTAAACAATATTATAGGGTGAATCGGGAATGCAACGTTTCTCCACTAGTTTAATTGTAGGATAAACTAGACCAGGGGTGGCCAACCAGTCTGAGACCAAGAGCCGATTTTTGTACTTTGACACCGCGAAGAGCCGCATTATAAACTAGAACACACATGAACACCAAATATACTTTTATTCAGTTGTGCCAGAATGCTAGTTTATTGTAAATATCACTAACTAATAGCTTTATGAGAGAAATTTCTAAGCCATTTATTAATTAATATGCATTCTACTAATGGGACTTATAGTATGTCGTTGTAGCCAATCGAAGTAGTTCTTTCACATGGGTGTCTGTCTGAACAGATCAATGCTTTGGTTTCACGTCTTTTAGGATAGAAAACACAGAACCGCAGACATATGTTGACCCCAAACATTGACAATACACTATACGCAGGTCGTTTGAATAAACTGGCGTATTTTTCCACTGGCATGCTTTTCCATAACTCAATGGTTCCTTCCCTTAATTTAAAGCGCATATCAGTTGGTTTTCCTCACAAAGATCGATCATCTTTAACACAGTTGCAGTCTCATCTGAGACTAGAGGGAATTTTAAACTATCCGTCTCAGAAATAAATGAGGTGTCGATGACGTAATTTGTGACGTTTTATCTGCACTTCATTTACTTCACCCAAATGGTAAATTGTGCTTTTCTCAACGAACTACGATTACGACAGCCGTCGCAGTGCAATAAGCGCGTCTCATAACAAAGAATTTATTGCGGCAATATAATGGGCGATTGCATGGTAACCTGGATGAAGGCGTATCTTATAGGAAGAATGCACAGTGAATCATAATATGTTTAATTGAAAATGATAAATCGTAGTTTTCCAGCTTATTTTTTTCTTAAAATAACCATGGCAGGAAGAGCCGCGGGTTGGCCACTCCTGAACTATACTGATCAAACCTTGTGTATATCATTTCAAAGACAACCTACATGCGCAGACCGCATTAATACAAAAAAGTGATTATTTATCTGTATTTTGGAAAAAAATAGTACGACAATGTAGGAAAATATAAAGCAGAATTTTAAACTAAATATATGTTCATAGAATAACACATAAATTAATTATTATTATTCAAGAGTTTTTAATTCAATATACCTGGGAACAAGTTCTTAGTTGACTCCGAAAAATTTTGCAGATCATGAGTGTAGTTTCCTAAAATTGTGGAGGATGATTTAATTGCAGTTGAACTATGTATATGAAAATCGTATAAATGCACTCATGTGCTTGAACGTATAACTTTTATTGTTATTGGAAAAAAATTTGAATACTAACATTGAATTTTGATTGACTCATTTAGCAAATTAAATTTTCACTTAAAAAACAAAGTCGAATTGAATAGTAAAAAATACGAGCACGTTTTTCCTATTTAACTGTACGTGGCATAATTTTTATTGAAATTCAAATAAATACCTGAAGTATATGGCGGTGGTGCCTCTGGTTCGTGTTGATTATGAGTTTCTGAAAGTTGCAGATGGGAATAATACTTAATTAATAATAATAATAAATAACAAAATTATTTAATTGCAACTCAGTTTCAATATTTGTGGTGGTGAAACAGATTGAACGTGGAGCGAACAATGTTCAAGCATTTAATATACATATCTTACTCATTGCCCTTTCCTTTTCCAAACCTTTTATTCAACTAACTATATCGGCCATATTTCTATTGCTCAAAACAAAATATACGGAGGCAGAAATATAAAATAAATAACCTCGATAATTAAGATGTTTCTTCTTAAAATTTAAACTTCCTAATTCATTATTTGTCGATAATGTATGATCAAAAAATATTATGCGGATAAGCGTTTTATTTTAAAACGGCATTTATATATTTGCTTTGTCTTTAGATTTGTCTTTGTTTTTTGATTTTTCTTCTCTTTTATTTTATTTTCATGAAGATTATCAGTTAGAGCTTGAAGGAAGAATTTCAGAAACCGAATTTTGAAAAATAATAATGATATGCTGCTTAAGTATTTCAGAACAAAAACACATTTCTTTTGTGAATAGGATATTACATTACATCAGTCTGAATTTTGGCAAACCACTCAAACCTTGATCATTGCCCAATATTTTAGAAGCTGGTTGACTTCCTACAGATCTGCCTGCAAAAAAACAAGATCAATTTGAAAAAGTAGAAGTAAATATCTCTCCTTTGCATAAACCGTATAAACCTAAATAAAAGTTGATTTCTCGAAGCAAAAGTCATTTTTTATGATCATATTATATTTATAGAGAATATTTAAACAGGTGTCATTCTACATTGTCATTTTGCCAAACCTAAAAAATCTGGTAATAAGACTGTAAAATATAAGAACAGCCTACTTCTAAAGAGCCTCATAAAAAGTTCCGATTTTTTCCTTGAGAATGACTGTTGAGAATCTAAAGAAAATGATTAATAAAATCTGTCAAACAACAATTTAAGATTGTTTTGCATGAGAAAATCTAAATTTTTGTCTATTGCAAAATAACCTTTATATTCTCGTTAGCTAAATTAATTACTGAAAGTTTAAAAATACACAAATTAAACTACCATCAAGCCACACATTGGTAATGTTCTATCTTCTTTTATTTAAAATTGAATTATCGATTTTTGTCCGATGTTAAATTCAGGCGACTAAATCAACAAACAATAATACGAGAATATCGGTCTGAGACCGAAGACTTATCGATCGAAAGTTAGGGGATCCCCAAAATAGTGCTCTTGCTCCATAGTGACACCTTGTGTCCCATCAATAATTAATTATTAACTCGCTAATTATACGACATAATTCGCCCAATATCAATAGGCTTCTGGTCCGAGATGAGATGAATGCACATGCAAAATCTGGAGCAGATTCAATCTCGCTTTCGTGAGATATCGCGTGCATCTAACAGACAAACAGACATACAGACAGACAAATACCTATCAACATACTTACCGATTAAAATCGATAAGTAATGATGGCCATACAAAGTATGGTGCAGTAAGTCATATTAATGAGTGCATTTGATCAAATGTTTCGTTTAGTTTAGAGAAAAGATTAAATCGACTTTTTTCCAGTTAAATAAATTTCATCTGCTTTTAAAGTACGTCAATTTTAATTGAAATTCTAAAACTTGTTCAAAAAAGAAAATTCATACGCCAGATAGGAAATATAAAAAATATGAACTACCTGTTTTTGTAGATTGTCTTGGATCTCCTAAACAAAGTATTCAAAATTCATAATTTTTCAAGTTTCATAATATTTACAACATAATAACTTTGAAATTGAAATTTCACTATTTTATTTTCAAAAAGGAGCTTTGTTTAACTTTATTATGTTATAGTGCTGTAGGATAAGGATTGTAATGAATCTGAGGTATGTCCACAACTCTATCTATAAGTTGAATTATTCAATATATGCCATACTACAACAATTATTTCTAAAAAAAAAAAATATTGATTGGTTGCCTGTGTTAAAATTCATCACGGCCCTGTGCTTTATAATCATTTACCTGTGCCAACAGCCAGGACTAGGCAGAACAAACAAAATATTTATTTAATTCTTTCTTATTCTGTTAAAAAGAATATATATATATGTATATATATATATAGTGAGTAATTTTCATTAACAACTACGGTACCTACTTTTCAAATTCACTTCTGTTTTGCTTGTCAGTAATCTGTCCATCTCATGCATTCTTTTATGTGTATCCGCATCTTTTATTTTTGGAAAGTATCCTTCGAAAAAAAGTTGTTTATCCCCGTCTGATTATTGAATATCAAATCAGCGATAAAATGATTTTACAATAATTTTCGAAAGATAATCCGAAGTAATAGAGTTACCTTTTGATGACGCATCATGTTCTTTACTACTTGTGATTGGATCATTTGCTGATGTACTTGATGAAGAAGTATGAACTACTGGTACTTCTTGTACTGGATCTGTGATTTAAATTGCACTGTTATTTGTTCGTTGTTGTATTATGTACAAAAAGTAAAAAATTATTTTTTCCAACGGATTAAACCGTTTTCTGCTTCACTAAATCTCATTCATATTTTATAATTAGACTAATGAGAACCTAATATGATTGGTTCCGATTGATTTGAATAAAAATTACCTCGATGCTGTATATGAGGATTCGACTCGATAATTTTTTCACTTGGTGCTTCTGTTATCTTCACTCCTGTGCTTTGATTTTGGTCAATTTCCCCGTGCTTGTGTGGTACCTGTGTTGGGTATTGTTGTTCTGATGTTGATCTTGAACGTTTTTTTTCGTTTTCTGCTCAATAAAACATAATATTAAGACTGAAGTAGCTAAAGAAGACAGAACATGATATACTATCATTGACATATATATACACATATATACGTTTAATCATTTTAATATACGGGCAATAGCATTAGTACAGCAATGGCATTAGTATCGTAAAATGTACACGAATCCAAATGAGATCACACACTCATATGACTATTGTATTCTTTATAGTTGCTCAGTTTAATGTGGGGTCCAAATTGCTGATATTGAAAAAGTATAGTATAGGTCAAAATGTTGGCATGGCCTGTATCAAATATTCATCATCGGATCGGTAAATGAACATAACAAAATATATATCAATACAGAAGACCTATGACAGAAAGAATTTGACACCAACACTTTTTATTGTATCACTCAAACTCGGATATAATAAGAGGCAAATATGAACCTCTCCTGATTGGCGATTCACTTTTCTTTCTTCGCTTTTGTGGAGATGCCGCTTTAAATTTTTGTCGTGATCGAGATCGATCTTCATCATGTGTTGCTATGTAACGAATAACATGAAATAACTTCGTGTAAGGAGAAGATAAATTTATATTACTTCTTGAAGTAAAACTTAAGAGATATTACGGACCAAGATAATGTCGTTTATTTACGCGTATGTCCTAATTCTAAAAAAAAGTTTGGTTAGCGCTTATACTCAAGTTAAAATCACCAGGCCCCATTGAAAAGGTTTAGCAATCAAATTAATACAATACAAATACACAGATCCGAGACAGGGACTTGATATACAAACAGTGATTTTAAAGCTTAAACTTAGTTATAAAATTACAGTACAGTATCTGAAGTTGAAGCTGGTATTGGAATAATTCTAAGCGAATATGAAAAATAATCTTGATTAAATCATTTATTTACAAATTCATTATTATTATGATAATAGCCCATACCCAACTTTAAAGAATTCGATTTTGGCATTTCCGTTGCATCAGTTCCAGGTGTTGACCCAACATCAGACTCTTGTTGACTTTGCTGAAGTATGTTTATATAAAATCTTATAAAATTTTTTGACTATTCAAGTATTACAAAAGCAAAAAAGTCAAAACAATGAATGCTGACTAATCACACTTTCTTTTAACCAACCTGAAATACAGAAGCAAGCAGTTTTAACGCTCGAATTAGCTTTTGAACTTTTGGTTTTTCCGACTGCATTTTTAAGAGTAGTTTTAACCAGAGAATATCCGTCCTATACCTTAATTATAGTAAGAAAATGATATTTAATAAAACAATTAAAGCAACGCAGTATCTTGGCACTAAGAAGAGTGTAGAATTAAAACAGTACTCAAACCAGAAATATATCTTTGCATCAATGACTTCTATGACAAATCCGGTAAAAACATCTGTTTGAAACCTCGCAACGGTGATGCTTATTTCATTTCAAAAAAGTTCGAGATTACATCTTGAAGAAATGAATTTGTAAAACATACAACTATACATTGTGCATTTCAATGCTTAATTCACGACGATTTGTTTGTATTACAATTGATTTTCATGTTTAATTGGATTTGTTTATTTATAATTAATAAAATCATACTTGTCTCTTAAAGCCAGCCAGCCAACCCAGTTGACTTTTTCAAAATGTTCCTTCATCAATTCAATCAAAGAATCATTAATTTCGAAATCTGCTTTTTCTAATTTTTCAATTCTTCCCGGCTTCTGATGAATAAAATTATAAAAATTTGGAATACGTGGCCTAGTCCAGTGATTCCCAAATAAATTTTGTAAAATCTCGCGACCGAATATGCTCAAATACTAGGCTGTATGTAATGCTAATATACCGTAAATGGACTTAAATGGTCTCTGATTGACTAATAACAGCAGGTGCCAAGTTTTTACGCCGTGATACATATGCAATTGCTACTGAGCAACACTTCATTACAATATAAAATGAACAATAAAATTTACTAGAGATTACAAGGAGTAACTTTTGGGTTTTAGTTAAAAAAACAAGCAAGCCACGAAAATTTTCAGGTGACTCAATTTTGAGTTGCAACCCATAGGTCGGGAAACACTGGCTTAGTGAGCTAGACCTAACTGTGATAGCGTCGTAGGTTAAAATTTTAGACCAGATCCAATGGTATATATCTTCACCCAGGATGTAAAAAATTAGGTGACTAATTTCGAATCAGTAATACCCTGGCCCTTCTAAGACTATAATAGTTTCGTGTATAGCAGTTACTGCTTATTTAGAGCTTTGTTGGAGTGCAAAGTGTATACATACATCAGATAAATAAATTGCGAAAGTCTTGAATATTTTCAAACATCGTGTCGCTGTTTTAATACTAACTTTATTTTGTATAACAAATCTTGCAGCTGCTACAAAGTTTCTAACAATTTTCCAGTTATCTTCCAATCCTGCAGATTCAAGAAGAATCAAAATCCCATCTTGTCCATCTTTTTTACTGTAATAAATAGTCATCGAATGACCAACGATAAGAAGTCTGGTTCAACTAGAAATACACCTAATTATTTTTTTCACTCATCACTTAAATATGCAATTAATCATAACAGACAAGTTGGTGAAAAAAAAATCAATTGATGACTTCCCAAACAGGAACAAAAATTTAAAATATAATGTTCATCGTCAAAATGATTATCAGACCGTTCACTCTTTCATGGATAAAGAAATAAACAAATAAATGAAATAAACTACAGTTACTCAATATTGCAGGAGTTATCTTTTAACTTCTCTACAGAAATAAGAGTCAAACGGAGTTTTAGTTATTTAAAAACATTCTGGTTGCATGTTTGCTATTTTTGTCCATTTGAATCGAAATAGGACGTACGATCTTCTATATGTGACGCAAACACATATTTACATTAATCTTGTTATTGACATTTTCGTCCAGTATGTATCAGAAAAAAACAGTGCTCCCGTAGTATGCGCACCAAGAAGGCGCACAACCTGAACATAGTATGTGTACCAGGTTAGGGTTCAGGTTGGTACACATACTACGGGAGCACCGAAAAAACAATGGGTTCGTCTTTACCGAAATTGCTGTTTTGGCCAAGCAATATCGAGCAACGGTGTTAAATTTTCGTATTCTTCCTTCAATACTTCGTACGATTCAAGAAGCCAATTTGCGTCTTCAACTGCTGAATTTATGGAACGAAATTAGATTTGTTTTATTGACTGTCTTTATGTTTTGTTGCATTCCTCATGAGTGTTTTATATAACAATATGAAATCGTCAATTAAAAAGAATTATTTAAAATGAGGTATTTCATTGCATTGCAAATATGAAATTTTGGGGTAATATGAAACGCTCATATTCGTATAAACCTCAGTAAAAGTAATTTTTCCAATGTAATAAAATTACAACGTACCCGTTGCTTTGTTAAACTTGTCAGACACTTTGCTAGAGGAAACTGAAAACAAAGATAAATTTTATGCTAGTGAAACTGCCACGAATGCTCAATGTCAAAGATATGTAAATCTATATCTTCTATTACAGGTTCGTCCAACCTTTTTGGCCGAAGGGCCACATGTAGTTTACTAATAACGACGCGGGCCACTTAACATGGCAGTTATGTTCTAGTTTTGCTACACTTACTACAGGTTAATGGAAAAATAAACAATACCCTCACACCAAACTTTCACAATTATTAGAACAATAAAACTGTTGTTTCCCAATCATTGATGGGGCGCCATCAGTGGTTATTTCGGAAAGTTTTGCCAAAGACAAGCCAAGACGCTTGATTAATTTTATCATAGCCCCCAACAAATCAATGCCTCTAGTCCTACTCTTATTAGAGATAATGGTTGCGAGCTATTCGGTAATTTCAAATCATCATTAACTCCCCGCGAGAAGATCGCCAAGACGCCAACTGAGCAGTAAACTTGATGTCAGTGCTTTCATCAAGCGCCAAGGAATACGATGAAAATTTTTCCGATTTTGCAAATAAAGTTTCCGCTATAGAGTTCCCAAGCTCTTCAACACGACGAGTTACGGTCTGTCTTGACAGGCTATTTTGGCAAACACCTCTATTATTTCCGGACGTAAAACACTGGCATATGGCCCGCGGGCCACGGGTTGGACGAGCCTGTTCTATTACAAACTAACCAACCGGTAGAAATTCGGAATTCATTTCAATCGTAAAAAGAGAATTTGTATGTTCAACGTTCATATATATATATATACCAGCACGGACCTGTGCACTAGCTACTAGCAGAATATATTATACAACAGCTTGAGTATATCATACCTTTTGATGCGAATTTTGGATCTGATGCCTCGGGAATAGAAATCTGAAATTTTCATTTATTGTATCATTACCAGCGAAAGAATATATCTTAGAAATAAACACTTTCTAGTCAAAACGCTAAATACAAAAATTATTGCAATTTTTTTTTATAGTTTACATTTGATGAGCCTTGTAACCAAGTCAAAACATTGAATGTCAAAGAATTTAAATATTATTTACTTACAGACATTATCGTGATGTCACAAGGTGTTAATTATAATTTTTGTTCAAAAGTTGTTAAGGGAGAAATAAAAATGGTCCGAACTGAAAAAATGTCAGTATACCAGGAAAAATTGAAACTGATCAGTAAGTTCTATAATTGTATATGATCTTATAGTGAATTTCCCAAAACAAAAACATCAAAAAACTAATATTCAGAAAATGTTAGAAGAGCAATATCAGTTTTGACTTCCAAAGTCTGAAATTGCAGATGAAAGTGAAAACACAAAATACGTATTCTTGATTTCAATCCACAATCATACAAAAATATACAGATTTATATACATAACATCAAGTTTATGTGTACGTAGTTATTTTCGGATTGGAGATTATGAATACTCACCTTATGAATGCCGAAAATCAAATGTAGAGCAGACGCGAGAAGAATAAATTTTTCTGGATCAGCATAAATTTTGAGTAGTAAAACTTGCTTCCAGTTTTCTTCAAGCCTTAGTTATACGAAAAAAAAAATGGTGTATTTTTCTATCACACAACACAAGGGCGGTGAAAATGGAAGAAAATAATGATGAACAGCAATAACACGAAACTCTCTTACCATTTATTTCCGGGCCAGGAAATTTTTATCAGCATAGTAAATATGTCCGTATGTTTTTCCATCTCAGGCATTATCTTTTTCATCCATTTACGAAGTATGATAAGATCAGTCGCATTTTCCCAAAATTTTGTTTGGAACAGCTGTGTGTAAATAAAAAAAAAATGTTTAAAATGTTGACACAGAATTTAAATAAACTCCAATTTAACAATGTTAAAAAAAGCTACACAAAAAAGAACACAAAGAATTTTTGGTTTCAATTCAATTTGGAGTCTGAGTTCACTCGTCAGGACGGAAGAGGCTTTGTCAAATACGTAAACTGAACTGTTGTAAGATTGATCCAAGATTGAAAAAAATAGTATTGTTTCGTGAAAACAGAGGAACATAGGTAACCACGAATATATAACGTTACAAGCATGGTGGTAACAGTAACTCGATGCATTTATTCCGCTCAAGTACAATTTTACATTGATCTGATTACCTGATCTCTTTTTAAAATATCTTCAATAAGGTTCTTGAAATCTTCATACAGCGAACCAAAATCAGCCATCTTTGTAATATGATCAATAATATTGTTTTTCCAAGCTTTTTCGTCTTCTAGGTGTCTAGATATAATCAGTAACAATGCACAAGTCTGGGAGGTAACTTTGTGTGGGGTTTATTATATATTACTAGTAATTAGTAATATAGGACGTACCATTTGATGTTTTGATCTTAACGAAACATATACATCAAGAAAATTATATTCTTCAGTTTTAGAAACCCTCTGTCTACTTTTTATCGAAAAGATTTTAGGGAAACACTGATAAAGTAAGGGTATATAGTTTACTTTGTTGCTCTAATATTTGTCTTGTTCGGCTATTACTGATTTTTGCATATTTATTTGTCGAAGTTTTCATTTTATGTCACCGTGCTTTGACTTGGATTTTCGGATAGGATTGGCTGGGCAGATGGCCTATTTTCAATATACAATTTATTTAATTTTTTATCATACTCACAATGTGCATCCTGGTGATGCCAACTGAAGAAGAACGTTTATTTCTAATCTTCGATTGAATAACTCGTCCAAACGGGGGTAAAACCAATTGTCGTAATCTGGAGTAAAAGGAAATGTAATAAGGCGATAAGATAGGTCAAGATGTTGTAATTTTTCAATTTTCCATTTTAATAGGTAAAAACCTATAAATAGTATAAATTCATAGTATGAGGCATTGGTTCAATTGATAGTTAAAACACACACTATGAAATAAACACAGTGAAAAATTTTATCACACCACCTTCGTCTGAATCGCAGGTTGCTGAAGAAGTTGAATTGTCGTCTTTAAAAATGTTTCCAAAGTCTGTTTTTTGAAACGTATCTAGAAGTAAATATAAGAAAATTATACTATATTTGTGAATATAAAAACTGCAAATCTCTACAGTTAGTAGATCGAAAGATTTAAAACTACTTGATATGATATTTCGTAGGCCACTTTCTTGTCAAATTTAGGCTATCAGAAATTTATGTAACTGGTTATCTCTGTAATATGCGAGTAACCATGTTTGAAAACTTTGCTATAAAATACAAAGAAAGAAAATCACCGGAAGATAAATTTTTAATCTTTTTATCTATCGGGATAGGAACATAATGAGAATGCCAGACGAAGATGTTTGCGTGCGAAGAGGTGTTTCTCAATTACCGCTAATAAAAAAATCTTTCTAAATTTCAGAAATTTGTTTGTACCAAATATTAACCGTCATATGAATTTTGAAATATGTAAAAATTAAACAATTAAATCACATTCACAATCACTAAAACAAAACTTGCTAAAATTTAGGCTAAAACAATCGACCTCAGGCATTCGTAAAATGTAAGACGACAAAACCCCTTTATATTTAAAACTACTGAAAATTAAAATTATTGGTAAGTAGTTGAAGGAAAAAACAATATATCTTTTTAGTCTTCGACATCACAACAGCAAATCGAATCAAATGTGGGTGCATTAGTGAGAATATTCATAAAATATAGCAGAAAACAAGCGGTTTATGTCACGCCGTGCAATGTACCAGCCTTTTTTTAGAAACAGAAGCGGTGGGCAATTTAAAAAAAAAACGCAATCAATCAACTAAATTATATGGTAATGCAAGATCAATGGAAAAACATTCATTTTTTTTTGCAGTTTTTTTTTTACGTGAAAAGGAATTTTTCAGCTAAAAGATTATACAGTGGCCTACAAAAATACATCGTGTGCCAAGAACTGCAGCGTCCTACTTTTTTATTCCTACGCTGTAAGGTTTATTTAACAATAGAAGAATACTAGTTGATGATCTCCACAGTTTTAATCGATTTCGAGAAACTTATGAAGTTAGTGTAGTGATCGATAAAAAAAATCAACTACTGTACCATTATCATTTTCTTCGTCCGTTGACTGACTGACTGTAGAGGCGCGTTCCTCGTTTTGACTAGAAACATGTAATCCTTCTACAAAAACAAATTAAAACACATGGAAACGGCTAATGCAGCATTTGGCACAATCGCATACAGCCAATTGCAAATGCTATTGGTTGATTTTATCAGGTGCAAATGTGTGGTTTTGATGTTCTCGGTATTTGTTTAGTCCAAGTCACGGAAGTCCGTCTTGGTTGTGTCTAACCCGTCTCGACATTATCGTCCCATTTATAACGTTTTTGCCTCATAAATGTGTGAAAAGCGTCGCATTTTAGCAGGCGCTTGTACTGTACGCCAAGACTAATCACAAACCTATATTTGTATTGTCATTTGCCTGCTTCACTTCCGCTGAAATGTTGGCAATATCAGCAAAATTAATTTCTTCCACTTGCAGCCGAACATCCTTCAGAGAGTCTATAATAAAAGAAGTTATAAGTGTACACAATGAAAGTAATTCAATTGCCAGCGTCTTCTGGGTAGAATATATATCGTCTTTGATACATTTAAAGCTAAATTTGCTATTATAATCACAGCATTACACTATGTAAAAATAGTTTGATATACAATACTTTTCTTTGCTCGGCAATAAAAATTTTCAAAACCTATAAGTATTGTTAGTCATTTGTTGCGACGCCCAAAATCATGGTAACGTCGAGATTGAAGTTTGTTTTATATTTCAGTGTTGCCATGCCCTCGCGAACATATATATTAAATATTAGTGAAAGATTCTATTTAGCAATATGTTTCACAAAAAATATATTTTTTGATTGGCATCATGAACTTTACCGAAGCAATAAATATTAATGGGGGTTTAATTTCTCGAGCACAGAATCCCGAAATCATTTGACGTTACTCAAACCAGGTATTTATTAAATGTACGTTAGTCGTATAAAACTACTCCCATTTGTAAAAATAAATAATGACATGAATGAACAATTTTTGCACAAAAATCGGTCCAGAATTATATGTACCAATATTGAGGTAACTAATTTTGTTGCCTACTTTACGTCAAGTTGTGTAAAGAGACTGTAACCTATGGGCAGGGAGTATAGTATATTCACTTGACTAAATTCACTTGGAGAAAGTGGTCACCGGGATATCAATTTGCTTTTTGAAAGGGTTTATTTGAAATTATGTTTTGTCTATGGGTCAGCTACAAAAAGTATCCTAAAGTACTTCATTATGAAACGTAATGATAAATTCTGGTTATAGGGGGAACTAAATCTAATCTTTCTTTCCAAGTACCTAAATCTTTTCAAATTGTTATTGATTAAATTGCCAGGTCAAAGGAAATCTATCACTTCTCTTAGCTTCAATCCTTATGTGTCATCTGTTGTCCGTATTTTTGCCTTACATGTTTCAACTTGGTTTCCAGTTTGTTATGACAAGAAGATACCTTGACCATTTCTAAGAGAAGCTGTGTTTTTTGTTTTATTGGGCTACTTGGCAGCTAGCTATCAACAGCTCGTCCACTCAAAATTATTAGCATGCTTCATATATGCGTGTTATTCATATTACTATCAAAATATATTTAACCAAGTAGGCTACATACTTTTTGGGCAAAATTTGCAAGCTTGATAGCAGTCATCAGGCAGTACTGCAAAATGACACCAGAAATATCTTGACTCGAACTCGTCTATAATTGTATGAATCGCAATATTTATCTACACGTACTCATGACAGCTGGACAAGTGGAACACCTCGTGGGATATATGGAACATTTATAAGATACGGTATTTAACAACTGCCAAGCGATATGAAATACGATATATAAGGCTGATTTTAACTACTTTGTTTGATAACGTAACGTTAACTGATTGTGTGATTCAATGCGATCTTACGTTTTGTTTCGTCGTTCTTTACCATCACGTATGAACTGAACGATTCCGGTGTAACTTCTGAAAAACTGAAACCTGGGTACGAAATATAACAGAAAAATGTAGCGGATATCAGTGTTTATCTTCAGCACAAAGAGTTTGATCTAATATTTGGTCAAGAATGTACTTTGGATTATACATATGTTGCGAAGTCGAAGAAGCGACAGGTCTGATTGAATCTCGATACATTCTTTACGTAAATTGAATCAGTAAACAGTAATGTTATCAAAAGAGCCAATTAAATGAGTGCTAGACTCACAATAACAGAGTTCAAAGCAAAAACAAGACTTCTTAAATCTGCATGTGTAAGAGACATAATGAAAAAATCTAACGCTTTACTATTCATAAAAGTTGATGCATTACTTTTTCTCACCTGAATTGTACTGGTGAACTGGTCCTTGATTGGTCTAAAAATATAAACCATTGGCGCGTTTGTTTGTGTGCAGCGTTTAGATGATAATATTTTTACAGTTAACTTGAATCAAAATTATCAAAATTTAAATTAATTGGGGGAATTTCCTAATGTAAAATAGATTTAAACAAATTTACTTTACTGAATCACCTTATTGTAAATATTAAACGTCGTTCAAAACCAACAATTTTATTTATTTTTTTATATTCTCTTACTATTTTAGCTATGTAGTGTAGTAACAATGTAAGCACCATGTTATTGCGGAAGTTATTAATCGTAAGTAATTGCATATTAAGCCTACAACCCGATAAATAATTGCTATACAGTAAACAGTTTCAAAATTTTACTTCTATCTCTTTGTCGTTGATGTCTTGCACTTTTTGTAAAAACAAATTAAGCTTCTCCGTATTTTCAGTTTGAGTAGCACAAAAATGGATAAACTTCAGAGGCCACATATCGTCCGTCAGACTGTTTTAATAAAATATTAGGTTGATAAAAAATGTAGCAGAGTATCATTTCACCATTTTTTTATTCTTGAATGAATCGTATTGTAATATATGAATAAAAAGGTAGTCGTTGTTGACATATAACATAAATGCAAATTGAAGTTTATTTAAAAACAAACAAATTAGAAAAATAGAAACCTTTTTTCCGGCCATATTTCAGAAATTATTTGGCACACATCGGTACTGTTAGCACACAATATTCCCCACCAGTTAATAAGCAAAGTGAGATTTTCTTCTATGTTATGTTCGCGCAGAAGTAATGAAACAAGATCGTGTAGTTCCTTGTTGATTCCCAAGTCTAAAATAATTAGAGAGTAGCATTGCTGTATAATGCAAATAAGCCTTGTGCACACAACTGCACAGATTAAATTTGCAGAGATAAAACGGTTAAGTATTGAATGGCGATGATATAAAAACAACTCATATTGACTCACAACAATGCAAAACATGCTCATAATACCTTCGTGTTTCAAAACATTTTCCAGATTTGTCAAAGCAAGGGTTTTCTCTGCAAAAATGCCGAATATTCTATCAATAGCTTCTGGGCATTGTTTGCTGCTTGCTTTCTCGCACAAGTCGTCATGTTCATCTGTTTGTATGAAAATATATAAATTAGGGAACATTCGGCTACAATGTACAAATGTTCATACCTTGTTTCACTTTCTTCCATCTTGGTAATAATATATGTATTACTGAGGAATTTACCGATGTTTTGACTTCATTACGCATGAAGGACAAAAATTCAATTTCAAAATAACATACCTTCTCCAATAAGTTCTCTGTCCTTCAAGATATGTGCAAGCGTACGAGTTCGCTGGTCATCCCCCGAAAAAAAGTTTCGAAGCAAGACCGTTACATAATTGGCACGGAGTGTTGATTGGTTCTTGCTGAACTCACTCATTGTGCTTCTAATTTTAGCAAAGCTCCTTGGCACATACGCAGAACTACATCATATTCATGTCTAACACGTTCAAAAACTGTTAAATCATAATCTAACTGGAAAAGTCTTAGGATTAGAATAGTAGTTTTTAATACGTTTTGCAATCGTTTATTCTTTATCCAATTATTATTGCAAATGTATGAAAGGAAACGAATAAATTTCATAAAAGGTTGCTTGGTGGACGGGCCGTAAAAACTTTTGAGGATGTCTCGCGGGCCGCAGTCGAAGAAAACCAAAAATGATCAAAACATCGCGAGTTTACTCTATTTCAATTATTTAAGAATTATAGTTTACCGTTTTAATCAGTTTTTTAGGTAAGTTATATAAAGCTTTTCGTTATTTTAAAATTGCTTCCCGGGAAATACCGTGGTATTTTCAGTATCTTTTCTCGAGTTTGGTTTCGTATTGTCGCTTAAAAAATTACATTCCTTCGTGACAGATATTACTTAAAACACACCTGGCACTGTGATTTAACGTTGTTGTGGGTTAGGAAATACGTTTATTTCAAGTTTAGCTCGGTAATCTTTTTATTACACTCATTGTATGATGAAATGTTATATTTGACTAACGTTATTACTTATAGCGTGAGCAGGCCTGGTGCTATCCTTAAGGAACATCCAAGCCCGTCTAAGTTAGGACCCAGCTAAAAAAAATTGATCGCGCGGCGCTATGTCAGATCTGCGGTTCGGCACCGCTGCCATAAGGCCAACGCTTGAAAATATGGGAGTGTTTTTATTAAAATAAGGGCAGAAAACGTCTCTCCAAATGAGGAGTTACTTGACGCGAGCTTAAGGCAAGAAGTTTAGATAAAACGTGTGACTCATCTCATAGTCTAGTCCTGTCTGCACAAGACTATTGATTCTCCCTGTACCGATCACAGGACGTCATTCTCATATGGGCACCATCTTTGCGTTTATAGAGACAGCATTTAAATCAGTGATTTTAAACAAACATCAATCTCAACATCGAGATTAGGAAAAGGGCTATTCCCAGTTGAAATAATTTAAAAATACTCTTTGAAAATGTTCTGCCAATAAATGGATATATCTGCCAATGGTTTAGTGCAGGCATGTCCAACCTTTTTAGTGACGAGGGCCACTTTCACATTAGGAAATTCATTGCGGGCCGCAAACGTTTTTACCAAACTTAAATACTAACTCAGTTTCGATTTACGTTAGAATTTCAGCGTCGCCAAAGTAAACAACTTGATTACACAACACTTACACAATACGCGGATTTCTGAACACAAGATTCACACAAAGACCATGAACCATGAAATTCAACTCAAACGTTTATGCAAAATGCACATTTTCTAAGCAATAATATACATTGGCATAAAAACTCTAAAGAAAAAATAAAGTCAACAATTTATCCTTACAACTAGTGCAAATCTTTTGAATGTCATTGCTCAATTATTTAATATCAACGGGTAGTTTTAATACCGCACAACGTAACTGACTTGTAAAATTGTCGTTCGTCAGGTTTCGCAAATAGTACGGGATATGCGCAAACTAGCATTAACAATTGCGGTTGATTCTGCTGACGGCTTCAGAAAAACAGTTTGCTGAGCTATAAGATTGTTTTTAGTAATTGTAGGTGTTTTTTTTTGCTCCCTAGCACTGAGGTTGGTAATTTCACTGTGCATGAGCTTGAAAAGACTTTTCAAATTATAATAGTTAAAGCTCAAAACAATTTTGCGGCTTATGTTTATACGACAGTATTTATATAAAAGCTTCAAGTAGGCCGCATGCGGCCCCCGGGCCGCAGGATGGGCATTCCTGGGTTAGTACACGCTAAAATTGGTCTGCGGGCCGCGGTTTGGACTACCCTGATATACGTAACTATTTTAAATTCATCGTTGCTACTGGTATTTCTGTTGGCGTTTCAAATCGAAATCTTCTTTGAGATCATTGGACAGAAAGACATCAAGATATTCAATATATTCAACATACTTCAATACAGATCCATTCATTCAGAGTTTGATATCAGGTTGATTATCAACGAATTTTTACAAAAACACATGTTCAAAAAATATTCCCTATATATATATATGCTGAGTGAGCTGTAATAATCTGTGGTGAGAAAGTAAATGCAGAACATGTCACTACCACTAGTGGGATTCAGCCAGTTCGCACCGGTTATATAGAACCGTCTCACGGAATTTTATAAGATCAGCGAACCGGTTAGCATTACTGGTTACTGTCAATGATTTTTTGTAATAGAACCAGGTGAAAAATATGACTTTTGTGATGAAACCGGCTGATAAAAAATTGAATCCCACCACTGGTCATTATCACAAAAAAGTTCAATAATACTGTTATTTGGAAAACATCTAATGACCTCTTGATTATAATTAGTAGCGTCATTCTGCTAAAAGCTAAACGTTCAATAAAAGGTGATGGCTAATGTAAAAAGGAAGTACGATTATAGCTATCTCGCTTACGGATTCATGTTTGTAGAGAAAAATTCTGAACAACTGCCGCAATGTGTCGTTTGCCTTAAAACCTTTTCCAATGGTTCTATGAAGCCCCATCACCTGAAGCAACATCTTTCAAAGCTTCATCCTCAGTTTGCTAACAAAGATCGCAGCTTCTTCAAACTTAAAGCAAACCATGTGAAAAAGATGAGATTCGACAGCATGGGACAATTTCAAATGAGTTCAAAGGCGATAGTGACTGCGTCTTATGCAGTTGCCCTGCGAATAGCGAGGACCAAAAAGCCCCATAACATCGGTGAGACATTGATAAAGCCTTGTCTGATGGAGTGTGCGGATATTCTCCTAAGCAAGTCTGCGGCGTCAAAGATGAGTAAGTTCTCCTTGTCGAATAACACTATTAAATGCCGCGTCGAAGATATGGCATTCAATATCAAAGATCAGTTGATAACAAATGTCAGAGATTCACCCTGGTTCGGAATACAAATTGACGAGTCGGTCGATGTCGTTAACCTCTCCCAACTAATGGTTTTGGTTTGCTATATTCACGATCAAACTATTGAGAAGGACTTTCTATTTTGCCGTCTATTAGAAAAAACTACAAAGGCTGTGGATGTGATGAAGCTTATCGAAAAATTTATTAATGATGAACAACTGGATTGGGGTAAACTTGGAGGTGTATTTACAGATGAGGCACCCTCTATGTTAGGTGTGCGGTCTGGATTTGTAGAACTTGTCAAAAGAAAAAACCCTAATATTATTGCGACGCATTGCATCATACACCGAATCGCATTAGCCTCAAGAACAATGCCGCCCCCACTCAAACAAACTCTGGATTGTGCAATTAAAATCGTGAATTACGTAAAATCGAGCGCTCTAAATACTCGACTTTTTCAAAAGCTCTGTCAGGATATGGAATCTGAGTATGATTCCTTATTGTTCCATACTTCTGTGCATTGGCTCTCGAAAGGAACGATGTTGACTCGACTTGTGCACTTACTACCAGAGGTTGTGGTGTTTCTCGATACTCGAAAGAAAAAATATTTTACGGCAGAAATTTCCGACGAGTTGTTTCGAATTAGATTGGCGTTCCTCGCGGACATGTTTTGTCATTTGAACGAACTAAATCGTAAGTTACAAGGAGCAGATTCAAATATACTTGGACAAAGAGACAAAATTGTTGCTTTTATCGCTAAACTAAATCTCTGGAAAATGAAGATGCAAGTTGGTCGGAGTGGAACAGCGTTTCCAACATTAAATCGAATGTGTGAGACGACTGGTATTTGCGACGTTTTTCAAAGTGAAGCTGTCAATCACTTTACCATGCTGATTGAAAAATTCCATCGCTACTTTCCCGGTTTTGAGCATGTAATCCTGCATCACTCCTGTAATGGCGTTCACAAGGAATTCTTTCAGATTTCCTGTTGAAGACTTTTCCGAGGATGAAGAAGATAACCAAGAAGAATTCTTGGAAATGATTCATGATTCGTCTGCCAAAATTTCTTTTTAAGATGAAACACTTTAAATTCTGGGCAAAGATGCAAAACGCATATCCAAAAATTACTGCAAAGCCAATAAAATTACTGACAGCATTTCCCTCCACGTACCTATGCGAATCAGCATTTTCAAGCGTTGTTGCTGTAAAAACGAAAGCTCGAAACAGACTACTAGATTTGGAATCGGATTTACGATGCGCAATTTCCAAAATAGATCCCGACATCCAATCTATCGTATCAAAAAAAACAACCGCAAAATTCGCATTGACGCTGTCATGTGAACTCGGATGCGTTTTTTGTGGAACTCTTTAAGCATTAAATTTTTCTATTTGCTGAATATCACTAGTTTCATTTTCTTGGGTCGTTACTATCTTGGGATGCTAGATGGCATAATAAGTGTTCTCGCGAGATTTCGATTTCTGCACCCATTGCAAACCTCTATCAAAGAAGGAAGTCTTACCGGATATTATTAACGGGAATATTATTCTATTTAAGATAGTCGATAGCTTGTGGGTAATGGAGATTCAGCTTAAATCGAAAGTGGGAAATTAAGAGAAAAAGGTTGGGAACCACTGATATAGACAGTGCGAACAAAAATACAAAATGTTAGTTGTTCGAAAACATTCCCCTGTACACGGCCTCCAGTTACACGGATACCGATATGGGTAACGATAGTGATAAGACGCGGGAGTCTGTTGACGTCCAACAATGCAGACAGTGCAAAAATACAGAACCAACAGTATTTTGTTTCTTTAAGTGATTTTTTTCAGCACCTAACAAATAACGCTGAGATGCGTTGATTATATGTTGCCAACCGCAATTGGATTTATTTTCACTCAAATATCCTCATTGACTCCTGATATCGCGATCACTTAATAACACTCTATGCAAAGTTCGATAAACATGTTTCAAAATCTACTGAATATTTCATCATATATGGACTTTAAAATAAGATTTATGTAAACATAGAAAAATATTCAATTGATTGTAATCAGAATATGAAACAAATTTATTTTTAGTACGTACTATATAATACGTAAAAAGGACGGGGTATAATCTCTTAAGTATAAAACATTTCATTATCAAAATTCTAAACTTTTATATTATGGCCTAAGTTTAGCAAAGATAAGAATA